TTCGGAAATATAGGATTGTTAGGATGTGTTAATTATTTAATGCATGCGATCATCTATTATATACGAACAAACTATACGTGCAACACTGTAAAACATTTAGTGTTAGTGTTTGAACACATATGCACGTGCATGTGTTGTTTTAACTTAAGGGAAGAAGACAATTTATATAGCAAAAGGCCCAGATTAAATTTGGAGTCGGATTCATCATTCAGACATCCACGTACCCAAAATAAAGCCTTAAAAAAACGGTTCAGCTTTGCCGCTGGTTGTAACTGTGTAATTTGATTGCTCATGAAAATAAATTGTAAGCATTCTGTTTACATGGTGAATGGAACGTTAGGAGCCCAGCAAGCGTTATCAGTTGAAGAAAAAAGACGATTAGTCCTTGACAGCGCAGTGAAGATACAAAATCAAGTTTGAGGACACTAAGACCAGAAATTTGGTCTTGTAGATGGTCTGTCTGCGATAATCACACTGGGGGAGGGGGGGGGGGTTGGTGGTTGCCGCCCCTTTGGGGTCATACATCACTGGTCGCGGTATCGTGCGAGCAAGATCGTACCATCAAGGCCAACAAGACAATGAAGACCGAGTCTATACTATTGAAAAGATGAGGCCATTAACTCAGTTTAAAAACCCATCTCTTCAATGTCACAAGTATCCATGATTGATGGCGAATGGTTCACAGGGTTAATGACTATCCTCCTTTTCAAAATCACTCACTTAAAACTTGTTTTTCTCAAAGTTCTCTGCTTTTTTTCAAATTTGGGATTTGAGGAGCTCTCGGTGGGGGCAGCGGCAATAGAGCTTGTTGGATATAAATATATTTTCCACGAACGCTAACAATACATTAAAATTAAAAAACAAACAAGTTAGAACCCTAACTTGGAAGTAAAGAAAGTGCAAAGTGGGGGAGCAGTTAAATCTAGGCCACGGGTCATGTGAATTGCTGAGCTCTGCGAAGGACTCAACATGCACGTTTCTAAAGATCGAACGTTTGTGTCGTCCAATTTTGTTTGTGAAAGTCTAAGACATTTGGTAATTTGTGGCTTATTTTTCGGTGAGTGCATGGTTTCAGATTGCTTTAAAAAAATCTTACACCTGCTAAACAGCTTGCTATATGCAGGTATTGTGCTCAGCATGACTATGCTAAGATTTTATCAAATTTTTCTTTATTTTGACGGGAAAAAAATCGTGACTTATTTTTCACGGAGCTATTAACTTAAAGATAAAAGAAAAAGCGTTGGTAAGCATAAGCATGGCGACTCATGGGCCCAAAAGGTCCGGGTCAAAATTGACCCGGAACCCCTTTTGTTTTGGACCCGATACTTAACTCCAGGGTCAACATTACACATTTCCTGGTCAAAATGACACTTCACTGCGTGGACCACTTTTTTGGATCATTTCGACCCGCACGCCTTGGCGAAAGTGTCAGTTGGACCCAGAAAAGTATCACTTTTGACCCTGGATTGTATCGGGTCAAAGAAACATTGGGTCGAATCTGACCCAATGCTGACCAGAATTCACAGGGGTTCAACTTTCATATGACATTGGGATATTAGCTAGGAATGTTGATGTATTCACGAGAGGGCGACATAATTATTCAGTTTAAATGGTAGGTGGCCACCCATGCACGTATAGTGCCGTGGCCTCGTGGTCTGGAGCATTGAATGTCGGTCACTCTGCAGGTTGTGGGTTCGAGTCCAGCCTGGGGCTGTGGTGCGTGTGCCCTTGGGCAAGGCACTTTGTCACTCATTGCTTCTCCCCGCCCAGGATTAAATTGGTACCTGTGAGGGCAGAGATGGTTATTGTGATCGTACCATCAAGGCCAACAAGACAATGAGGACCGAGTCTATACTATTGAAAGGATGAGGCCATTAACTCAGTTTAAAAACCCATCTCTTCAATGTCACAAGTATCCATGATTGATGGCGAATGGTTCACAGGGTTAGTGACTATCCTCCTTTTCAAAATTAATCACTCAAAACTTGTTTTTCTCAAAGTTCTCAGCTTTTTTTCAAATTTGGGATTTGGAGAGCTCTCGGTGGGTGCAGCGGCAATAGAGCTTGTCGGATATGAATTTATTTTCCACGAACGCTAACAATACATTAAAATTTAAAAAATAAAACAAGATAGAAAGGTAAAAATCACATTGATGCCGAACCCTAACTTGGAAGTAAAGAAAGTGCAAAGTGGGGGAGCAGTTAAATCTAGGCCACGGGTCATGGGAATTGCTGAGATCTGCGCGAAGTACTCAATATGAACGTTTCTAAAGATCGAACGATTTTCATGCCTGGGAAAGTAAAGGAATTCTTTCTTGATTATTTGTGTCGTCCAATTTTGTGTGTGAAAGTCTAAGACATTGGTAATTTTTGGCTTATTTTTTCGGTGAGTGCATGGTTTCAGATTGCTTTTAAAAAAATCTTACACGTGCTAAAACAGCTTGCTATATGCAGGTTTTGTGCTCAGCATGACTATGCTAAGATTTTATCCAATTCTTTTTTTATTTTGACGGGAAAAAAATCGTGACTTATTTTTCACGGAGCTGTTAAGATAAAAGAAAAAGCGTGGGTAAGCATAAGCATGAGTGGCGATCCCCAAAACTCCGGGTCAAAATTGACCCGAAATCCCGTTTGTTGTGGACCTGATACTTAACTCCAGGGTCAACATTACACATTTCCTGGCCAAATGACACTTCACTGCGTGGACCACTTTTTTGGATCATTTCTACCCGCACACCTTGGCGAAAGTGTCAGTTGGACCCAGAAAAGTATCATTTTTTGACCCTGAAATGGATCAGGTCAAATATTCATTGGGTCGAATCTGACCCAATGTTGGCCAGAATTTACAGGGGTCCAACTTTTCATATGACATTGGGATATTAGCTAGGAATGTTGATGTATTCACGAGAGGGCGACATAATTATTCAGTTTAAATGGTAGGTGGCCACCAATGTACGTGTATCAGTGCCGCGGTCTCGTGGTCTGGAGCATTGAATGTCGGTCACTCTGCAGGTTGTGGGTTCGAGTCCAGCCTGGGGATGTGGTGCGTGTGCCCTTGGGCAAGGCACTTTGTCACTCATTGCTTCTCTCCACCCAGGAGTAAATGGGTACCTGTGAGGGCAGAGATGGTTATTGTGATCGATTTTAGCTGCTTTGCGCCGAAATGGCAGCCCCGGCCCAGGGAGCTGAGATTGTCGTTGGAAATTGTCATTGGCCCAACGAGCAGGGGTAATAATGATGTAGCGTCTTGAGCACCGTGCGCAGTAATAGGATAAGGATAAGAAATCAGTAACCCTGGGAAACGAACGCGGGTCAAAGAATTTGGCAGGCGAGGACGCCACCTGACCCCCAGCTACTGAACATTCGAGAAACTTGGCAAGGTTTGCTGTTCGATGTAAAACTATACATGCAGTATCGACTCGAACTCCTATGCAAGATTTTTTTTTTTTTTTTTTTTTTAATTAAGTTAAATATAAAGTGTTTGTAAATTCCTGATTCTGGTAGCACCCGTAACCTTCCACGGTGTTATTTTAAGGACATAATTAGTGAAAGGAGAACAATATAAAGGAGTGTCGTGAGATCATTTGTCATATCTGTCGCATCGTCCGTGAGAACCGTCAGTGACAAACAAAACACAAAACTTTTTACGACGCGCCGTCTGCGATAAAATATGATGAAAATGAATTGAACTGATGCAAAATGCAGACTGACTGGATTATTGAAATTGCATAATATTTCGGCCTTTTTCAGAGGCAAACAAAAGAAGTCCTTGTTAAGTCTGAAATATCAGGCAACTTTAAAATTTTGGATAAAATATGATGATTGACGACTTCGCATGAAAAGGCCACTCTGCTTTGGGGAATCGAAAACGTCGGTCCCTTTTGAAGTTATAGTTGACGGCGTCGTCAAGGACATTTCGAGGTACCTAGAAAAGCAAAATTGCGGCATGGGCTTTAAAGCGTTGATCAGACCAATGCAATTAACCGATTAAGAAATATATCAGTATTATTGCTTGCTGGTTGTAAAATAACCCTTTGTCGGCACGATGAAAGTTCTCGAGAGAATAGGAGTCGACCTTAGAAACTGTGACGTCATTTCGCGCAGAATTGTGGACTTAGCTGTTGATTGGTCAATTTGGATGCCATGTTTTTGTAATACAACTTGTTACCGAAGACCCGATAGAAAAGACCCGCTGAATGGTCAGAATCCGGAGGTCAAGACGCATAATCATATCCCCCTGCTGTGCAAGGGGATATTCCATAGACTAGGTTTACGTACTCGATTTAACAAATCGAACAGTCAAGTTTAGGTTTCAATAAAAGGGCACTCTCTCGTTGGCGCTCGGAGCCCATTTCCCACATCTAGAGTGTAAAAAATAAAATAACCAATATAAAGTTAATAATATAAAAAAAAATAAAAAACTGTTGTGATAGATTAATCGAACAATTAATTACCGCAGCTTTATGATTAGTGTTCATGATGGGAGTTTACCAGCGAGCAATTGGAATTTTGGAACCGTATACGCTTCCATCGCTCAGGCTGTGATAGGGGCCTACTACAGTTTAGCTGTAAAATCCTGCCCGTTGAACTAGAACAAGCTCGTCTGCATTTCACAAATTTATCGGTGCCCCGGAGTCTGGCTCTCATTCAATGTTCACTGTCGCTCATTGGCCTACGTTTGTCACGTGATGAGAACGACGTGATGCCTGCTTTAGCCCCAGGCACGTTGATTGAAACTCGGTATTATTATTCAAAGTCAATATTTTCCGATCCCCTGCAAACTTACTCTAGTGACTATCAACTCGTGCTTGGTGAATTTTAGTACATGTTTTGCAACTAAGCGATAAAGTCGCGTGGACCGCACTGGTACCCGCCCACACGGGTGACCCAGGAACTATTGTTGCCTCCCGTTGCCACCCTGCGCTAGCTGCGTCCAGGGACCCTCCACGCGGGTCTCGACCAATGGCCTGGCATGAAAGTCAAGCTTCGCAGTCACGCAGGGGGCGGAGTTATGGAAAGACAAGGCTTTAACACGGACAGCCTCTCTCAGTTCTGCGTCTAGACCCTCACCATCCTGCGGAAACTCTTCAGACGAATTTCTTCCGAGAGGGAAAGCCACCAACTACTTCGCCAAAATGAACAAGCTTGCTATGTTGGTCGTTTGTTGCCTGTTCCTGCAGCTGGCGTCTGGGGCCTCACTCGCATTCAGTCGCCGCGAAGACACTCGTTCTAGGGTAAGCTACAATTATGTAAATCTGATCAATATTTTAACCCTTTTTTTTTTTTATAAATATTTTTAACCCCAGAGGGCCTGCCTACTGCCCCCTTTGCTTCAGTGTCTCCTTTGCAAAATATTTGACTCGGATGACTACCTACGACCAAATTGGTCGGAGTCTGGCTTTATTGACTTGCTTAGTCTTGTTTGAAAGTTTGTCTATTTTAGGCTTCTGTGACTAAAATGAAGAGCTTTAATTTGTGGTTGGTTTTGAGCACAAAAAGATCCGAACTGCTTGTAAACTGGTTTCAGTCCCTGCATTATCACTTTTGAAAGGGGTGGGAGCCAGTCTAACTTTCCAGAACTTAATCATTGTCGGGTAGAAATAATTCGAAATTTGTGAAGTAATTATTCAAAACTAAACGTGTGCCAATTTTTATGTTTTTTGATCGATGTCGCAAACAAAATAATGTTTGTGTTTTCTTTTTTTAAATAGTGATTAAAACTTTAACAAAAAACTCGAAATACAGGGTGAGTCAGAATGATCTGGACCCAAATTAAAGAAAATATTAAAAATATGCAGCAATTATTAAAACAAGTGCAAATGAGATATGTTATAGGCTGGTTTGAAAGTTTCATGTATATCCATTGTACCATTTTGAAGAAAAGCGCCAGCAAAGAACACATACAATGCAGTCATACATCAGTACGCGACTTCAATCAATTTGTTGAACCATGGAAACGTGGTCAGAGTGTTTCTAGCGCTTTTATTCAAAATGGTACAATGGATATAAATGAAACTTTCACCAAATAAATTATGTCCAAAATATCTGCTAATAACATATCTCATTTGCACTTGTTTTGCTAATTACTACATATTTTGTTTTTAAATTTTTCTTTAATTTAATTATTTTGAAATTTTGATTCAGTGGGCAGATCTGCAGCGGAAGTTACATCAGCCGCGGGGTGACACTCGTAAGTTTGTTTCTCTGTTTATCAGTGGTTTTTTTTCTCACTCGTACTTATCACAAACACAAGGGACCTTTACATTATTTGATTTCATTAGATGTTTTTTTTTAATGAAATTTTAGGTTTAACCTTCCATTATATATATTTGTTCGATCTTATATTTATTCGTCCTAGGTCTTATACAGGGTGGGTGAAAAAAGGAAACCCTAACGCCAGGACCATTTTATAAATGAACTTCTGCATGTAGCACTTCGAGAATCTAGTGCAGGAATCATTCAAATCACTCGTGTATATTTTAAACACAAACACCGCTTTAAAGTTCTGTCCACGGATCACCAAAAAGGTGGGTAGGCATTACATTCACTGTGCGGACTTCCGAACAAAAGAGGTCCACACAAACCAGGTAGAGGAGACGTTGTGTGGACTTGGGCAAGTCCACACAGTGTTTTCCCATTTCTGGAAAACAGGTTTAGAGGCATTTTGGGGTTTGGTTTATCTGTGGCAAAATGAAGAGAAACACTACAGAGAACCATAGAAAAAAATTGATTAATTGCCTTTTCACAGTGAGAGTAAAATGATTTTTTTTCAGAGGTTTTTCTTAACTACACGAAACCAAGGGAATGTCCACACTTGGTGTGTATCTGAAACTTGCCGAAAGAACACTTACCTGTTTTGTGATCCGTGGACAGAACTTTAAAATGGTGTTTGTGTTCAAAATTCTGTAACTTGAAAAGCACATGTGTGATTTTAATTATTTTTGTACAAAAAGAAAGCTTATTAATTGGGCTTTCATATCCTAGATTTTGAAAGTGCTACATGCAGAACTTCATCTTAAAAATGGTCCTGACATTTGGGTTTCCTTTTTTTTCACTCACCCTGTATTTATTCGAAGAAGAAATAAAGAATATGAAGAATACAAATATCTTTGCAGCCATTACACAGTCCGGTCAAATCGCCGTGCCGACGATAGCCCGATACGGTACCACGGAGACAGTAACCCTGAGCCAGGACGAGACGCAGCGGTTCGTGGGGGAGCTGTGCAGCAACTCCTCCATGGGGAAAGCCGTCAACGTCACGGTGCACCTCCACAACAACGCGGGCTGGGAGCCGGTCCAGGGCGTCGTGGATGTCTATGTTGTGGACTCTAACTGCCAGGTTATAAGTTGTCTTGTAAATAAACCTTGTTCGTAGCAGCAATTTATGGACTCAAACGCAATAGTGACCATTGTAAATCGATATGCACGCTAGTATTTTGGAATTAAGTTTGTGGACATTTAAAATAAAATTCATCGTGCGTTCTTCACTCGCCGCGCGCCGGTACTGTCTGTGAACATCCAACATATTCTGCACTTGTTAAACGCCTCACGACATGGATGTCAGTCGGGAACACAACTTTGTGCAACTTACTACTCCTCTTAAATGTATGAAAACTATTTGACACCCGCTTTTTGGTTTATTGTATTGAAAAGTGTTCATTTTTTAGAATATTAAATATTTTCCATGCTTTTTCTGAGAAATGAGGGCGCTGTTCCTATGATGTCATATATGGAAGACGCTTTTCACTTTAGGGGTTTTCTGTTCAAATTGTGAACCCAAAATGTGCTCATTGAATATTTTGGGAGAAAAATTTGATCGTTGGCTTACTGTCATGTACCGAAACAACAACAGATTACCAAAGAACAAAAAAACATTTACCACTGCAAAATATCAACAATTCTGGCAACTTTTGGTGCTGAAATAGCTGTAGCTTTGAGGTTTCTGCCTGAAATGACATCACACTTTTGTTCATGAATATGGAAATGTTATTAGCATAAAAGCTAAAAGGCACCAATATGCCCTTGAAAATGGGAAATTGAACATTGAAAATAATGTTAAACGGGACACAAAGTGCGTCTTCAAGGATTGCTTTAAATAAAATACAACATCACATGGGCCCTTTAAACCCAATTTTAAATTGTACTTTTTCGTGTGTGTTCTCAGGGTGGAGTGCTATGCACAAACAAGGATGACGATGGCTATGCAACCGCCTATTGCCTTATTGAATCTTGGCCCTCATTGAGTAACATCATGATTGTCGTCAAGGCTGGCCCTGTCTCTGGGATTAAGTTCAGCCTGGCTGCAGAGTTTTACGAGCAGGTAAAAAAAACGCAAAAAAAAAAGCAAAATAAAGAGAGCAAATTTTCAATAATTGATAAGTAAGTGGCAAAATCTTTGCCTTTTAGAAAAATTATTTAATCAACCTATATGCATCTTAATGCACGGCGTAGACTACCCATTTTGTTTATTTTAGTTTGTTGTTGCTGGTTTTCTTTTTAGGTTTGTTTGTTTTCATAATTCTAATTCAAATGCAGTTTTCAATAATTGATAAATAATTGGCAAAATCTTTGCCGTTTTTTTTTATTGCATCAGTCAACCTAGGCATCTTCAAGCATGGCTTAGCCTACCCATTTTTCTTAAAGATTGTTGTTGCTGTTTATTTGTCAGTGTTGTTTGTTTGTATTTCTTTCAATAAGTGTCCTTTTTTTAATCTACAGGGCACCCAGCCTGCAGCTCATGTCAAGACTCACATGCCTAGCCATATTCCCAACTTGCTAGCCATGGCACCCCTGGACCAACCGGCCATCACCTTGACCCAGTCCGTAGAGGTCTTCCCGTCCGTCTCCCTCGGCTCCCTGGAGCGGGCCCTGCTGGAATTTACCTGGTGCAGCGACAACTCCATGATCATGATCCAGTCCACCGTCATGTCTTCGGACGGAGAGAGCACCTACGCGCAGTACATCTGCGAAACACTGCCGTGTGACGTAAGTGTGACGTAGGAACACCATCAATCCACGTTTGACTGCAATTTTCACCTACTCCCAAAAGTTATCAGATTAAGCCCAAAAATTGAGCAGAAAATAAAAGATGATGAAGTAGCTTTAATTTGATGCTTGTCTTTAACACCTTGGAGAGTTGTGAGTAATTACCACGGAGGTCTATGGTAGTCTTTTTACTGGTCTGGACTCATCAGTGCTAAGAAAGTGGCCTCTATGTCAATAGTGATTGATTTCTTTCTTCTTTGTTTTCCGAACAGGTTGGTACGAACAACATCATCGAACAGACCGAATACCTGCCCACCAATACCGTCCAGACAGACCCCATGAACATAGACAACGCAGTAGGAAAAAAATTGTACGTAGTGGTCACCTCTTGGGGCGGTCCATACGACTCGGCCGGAAACGCTTACGTTAGCAATTTCCTGTACAGTGCCAACCAACATTAAGCCAACGTGTAAACATAAAACAGCAGCTGACGGTTCATCTTTATCAATTCTATACGTAGCTTTTAGACGTTTTAGTCACTTTGCGTACAAAAATGCATTATCCTATAAAATTGAAATATGACGGACACAATACAGAACGGCGCTATTTGGTTTGGGTAAATACAAAAGAGATGACCCGAATCAAACAGCGCCCTCCCATTGTGTCAACCATATGACCTTTTATAGCTTCAGATATAGTTTTTGGTAAAACAAAAGTCAGTCTACTAGTAGACTGAATACGATAGGATGTGTTTTAGATATTTTTCAAGATATATTTTTGTGGTGTGTTTATGGAGCTATAAAAAGGAATAAACTTTTTCTATTTTTATAATTGTTAAAGGAACAAATACAGTTTACATCATAAACGACTCGTCACTTTTTTTTCAAATTATGTTTAAATTGTTCTGTTTTCCAATTAATTGACATAACAATTTATTTGCAAAAAAAAATGTAATTTACAAGTTGAATATCTGTTATGATATTTTCGCAGTATGCTGCGAAAAGCCTCAAATTTCAAGACTTCCAAAATAGAAAAGACACTGAAATTGATGTACCTGTAACTTAGCCTTTTTAGGAAATAAAAAATAGAAAAAAACTTATTCCTTCGGCAAATCTTTTCACTGTACTATAAGGCGATTTATTCCATTTAGCCAAGGTGTAGGCCTATGCATGTAGTTACAATACTTCGGCGATCTGGTCTGGTCCAGTGTGGTCTGGTCCGGTCTGGTCTGGTCCGGTAGCGGTCTGGTTTGGTTTGGTCTGGTTTAAAAAAAGAAAGTTCTTTGTTCGGCCGCCATTTTCCTCAAAAGTCATATTAGTTGATCTGTTGCCAAAACACCAAAAAAATATTGCTAAAATGGCGGATTTTTGTCTTCTCTTTTCTTTCTCTCGCAAAGTATAACTATGGTTGCGGTGCAATTTGTATTCCAAATTTATTAATAAACTTATCAGCATAATGTCTTTGTTTTGAATTTTGTGTAATAATTTTGTTCTGCTATTTGTTTTTGTTGATCGATTTCTCTCATAATACCTAGAAGTTGTTCTTCCCTGTTCAGTGAAATTTTTTCCCGCAAAACAAATATTTTCCACACATTTGTCGGCAAGGTTGACGTCATACACGTTGCCAAAATTAGGTCTGTATATATTTTCACAGGATGATCAGCAAAGCATTCCCCAAAGAAATGTATTTTTTTTATGAATCCTCTGTAAAAATGAACATTAAGCTCCGATAATGAGACCTTATCAGGGTGTTCGAGCCAGCCCCCCCCCCTCCAATAATTGTAAAGAGTGCCTTTTTTTCAACAACTTTTCTTTATAATTTCCAGCAGCCTTACGAGTTGCCTTTTTGGGAATTTCGGGCGAATGAAATGTAGACAGGGAAAACCCCTGTCTACATTTCAGAACGGATATGGCGAGTGCCCATTTTACGAACTTTTTAACCCCCCCCCCAAAAAAATGACCTTGCTTATCGCCGCTGGGGGGAGGCGGGGGGAACCGCTATTAACTTAAAAAAAAGATGCAAAAAGGCAGTGTTTGACAAAATATTTGGGACTCTTGAGTTATCGTCTCCACAAAGCGTACTGTTTTATTTTTGTTCACTTATGCAGACTTCGTTTGGGCAGATCGCGATATGATCCACGTTGACACGTTGACGTCTTTACGGTGGTGCCCAGTATTTGTATAGAGCGCCCTCTTTTGGAAGAAATTGTTGGTAATATGTAGGGGAGTGCCCTTACAAACTTTAGTTTTTTTTGGTTGTATTAATTTTGTTCTTCAACGGTTTCTGTCGAATTTGAAATTTGTTGTTTGTGTTGTATATCACAGTCAGTTATTGGACGATATTTCAATTCAGTGCAATGTGTTCGTTCTTGAGCTATCGTCTCCACAGAGTACTTCATATTTGTTCACTTGAATTCGGATTGAATTTTAATAAAACTGTATGTTCTTTAAATCATATTAAATATATTTTTCACAATTTCCCTTGATTTTTAAAACAATTGTGTCCTATAACCCAAATTTCAATTCAGTGTACTGTGTTGTTCTTGAGTTATCGTCTCCACAAAGTGTGTTTCATTTTTGTTCACTTAATGCCGACTTCGTTTGGGCAATCTTAATCCACGTTGACAGAAGTCTTTCCGCTGGTGACCAGTATTTGTGTATAGCGCCCTCGTTTGGAAGAAATTGTTGTTGGTCAAATGTATGAGCTATCGGGAGCGCCCTTACAAACTTTAGTTTTTGTTTTTGTTTTTGTTGTATTAATTTTGTTCCTCAACGGTTTCTGTCGAATTTGAAATCTGTTGTGTTGTATATCACAGTCAAATATGGGACGCAATTTCAAATCAGTGCAATGTGTTTTCTTGAGTTATTGTCTCCACAAAGAGTGCTATATTTTTTTCCATTAAAATTCGAATTGAATTTTTCGCGATTGGTACACTGTATTTCCTTAAATCATATTCAATTTATTCTTCAAGTATTCCCATCGATTTTCAAACCGTGTGCGTCTTATATCCAGAACATTAATTGGACGAAATTTCAATTCAGTGCAATGTGTTGTTCTTAAGTTATCGTCTCCACAAAGTGCTTCATTTTTGTTCACTTGAATTCGGATTGAATGTTAATAAACTGTATATTCTTTAAATCATATTAAATTTATTTTTCAAAAATTCCCGTAGATTTTCGAAACATTTGTGTCCTATATCCCGAACAATTATTAAACTGAATTTTAATTCAGTGCACTGTGCTGTTCTTGAGTTATCGTCTCCACAAAGTGTGTTTTTATATTTTGTTCATGCCGACTTCGTTTGGGCAGATCGTGGTCCACGTTAATATCGCCCCGGCCAAAGGGCGCCCTCGTGAGACAGGCAAATGGAAAGTAAGCAATACACCTTTTACGAGTGCCGACTGGATGGAGAAAAAGTGTGCGTTGTGACTAAATGTGAGTAGCAGTTTTTGTCTCGTTTGCATTATTAAGGCTTCCACATCATTTTACTACGATATATAAATGCATGTGGCATTTATTACAATCCGCACAGGAGGTTCTATTTGCAGATTGTAATTATATGCAATTATTTTAGGACCAGAGCGCCAGTGGGCACGGCAGTCAGTGATGTCTGTTGCGAATACCGGACGCCGGTGTCGTGCCAAAAACCGTCCGGTGCCAAATAGTGTCCGCTGAGCATGCGCAGTGGGCGCCAGACACTATTTGGCATGTAATACATGCCAAATAGTGTCCGATGCCAAATAGTGTCCGGGCGCCGTCGTTCCAAACACAAGGGCGCACGTACGTCCTGCCGGACACTTATTTGGCAGGAAAAATCGGACAGTATTTTGCAAGGGGGAATCAGACAATATTTGGCAGGGGGAATCGGACAGTATTTAGCAGGAAAAATCCGATATTTGTTTCGCAGGGAAATCGGACAGTATTTGGTAGGGGGGAATCAGATAGTATTTAGCAGGAACAATCGGACAGTATTTGGCAGGAAAATCGGACAATATTATTTTGGCAGGGGGGATCGGACAGTTTTTGGCAGGAAAAATGGTGCGTACTGCACTGCACGCCAAACAGGTGGACTGACGCGAAAAAAAACACACAAACATTTTGCACAAATATAATTTTGTTTAAACTATTAGGGAAACCAAGTAAATAGTTATCACAGATAACAAGGAAAACGTTAAAACAGATTGTAAAAAGCAAATTCAGGTGAAAGAAATCTTATCTATACGACGTCTTGACAGCTCGTAACAGCAAGGCACGCAATAGGATGCACGCTAAGCGCGGACACTATTTGGCAAGCTTCCGTAAACAATGTGACGTCATGGGCGCATGGCCAATCAGAGCGCATTATGCTAATTAGCGGACACTATTTGGCACCGGACGGTTTTTGGCACGACACCGGGTGGCAACCCACCCGAGTTGGTCCTACAAAACTCCATGTGTACTCTGCGTCAACAAATGTCAATAAGCGTCAACAAGCGTCAACAAGCATCAACGGTCGTCAACAAGCATCAACAAATTTTGTATATGCTTTTGAACATTAAAAGTAGCGTTATATGGTAGAAAAAGCAATAAAGAACATAATCAATTAAAGTTAAAATTATTTTAAAACTTGTTTTTTTGAATGCGAAATGTACGACGAATTTGTCGATTAGTGTTGGCTGCCATCTTGTTTGGATGGCCCTGTACACTTCGCGCATGCGAAGTATGGCTCTGTACACTTCACGCATGCGTAGTACGGCTAGCTTCACGTAAACAAAATGGCGGCCACACCAAACTCGACAAACTCGTTGACATTTCACGTTAAAAAAAACATGTTTTTAAATAATTGTAACTTTACTTTATATGCTGAATCTGTCCAGCTTTGTCACTATTTTTATCATAAAAAAAATTTCTGGTGATGTTCCAAAACTTAGACAAAATTTGTTGATGCTTGTTGACGCTTGTTGACGCTTGTTGACGCTTGTTGATGCTTGTTGACGCAGTTTAGAAGGACCGGTTTTGATCTGTGCCAGCGATGGGGTTCTTTTGTTTCGCATTGGTGGATGAAAACACAAGTGGGCTTTTTCTGGGATAGATTACATGTGTCAAAACTTGCAAACAATAGACCCCAGGATGGGAGACTTCGTGATCAGCAACCAGACCAGCAACCAGACTAGCCCGACTGCGTCTGGCCGTACAGTACTATCGCAAGCTCTGTAGTACGGCCAGACGCTGAATGCTTCCAAAAAGACTGAATTTTTTTGGCCGCCGATGTAGCGATTTTGCTACATCTTTTGATCGAGATTATCTTTTCATCCAGGACAAAAATTTCCACAGTTAAGGTTCTTAGTCGTAGAGCAACTCATACCTTTTCGAAAAAACGTTCTTTGGTCTCAATATTTTCATCCATCTGGCCACAAGACGACTTTCAGTCATCAGATTCCACAAATATCGTCCCCCATGCGATCCCCCATGCGATTTCAAAATGGCGGCCGCGCTGTAATGTATGCATTATGCGAGCGCGCTTGGGCAAGATAATGAATATGCATCATAGTTTATGACGTTTGTCGGACACTCAGCGCGGCTGGCCATACAAACACGAGGTCATGAACTAAATAATGCATATTCATTATCTTGCCCAAGCGCGCTCGCATAATGCATACATTACAGCGCGGCCGCCATTTTGAAATCGCATGGGGGATCGCATGGGGGACGATATTTGTGGAATCTGATGACTGAAATTCGTCTTGTGGCCAGATGGATGAAAATATTGAGACCAAAGAACGTTTTTTCGAAAAGGTATGAGTTGCTCTACGACTACGAACCTTAACTTCGGAAATTTGTGTCCTGGATGAAAAGATAATCGCGATCGAAAGATGTAGCAAAATCGCTACATCGGCGGCCCAAAAAATTCAGTCTCTGTGGAAGCATCGTGCGTCTGGCCGTACTACAGAGCTTGCGATAGTACTGTACGGCCAGACGCAGTCGGGCTACAACCAGACCAGCCTCCTGGGGTGGGAACTGGGCCGGTAAGAGGGGGGCCTTTACAAACCAGGGTTGAATGGTCATCGTACCTAAGTGTCGTAAGTGGCTCTCGACTCAAAGACTCGAGTGGCCGGAGTGGCTCGTGGAGTGCGGAGTGGCTCAAGTGTGGGAGACTCGCACCCTAATTAGCAACAATCAGACAATAAAGAAGAGACAGGAAACTGATGGTATTTGACTTCGTTGGTCCCACCTAATCGAAGAAGTGAGGTTTATTCTCTCGTACTCTGCCTTTTATAGGCCAACACGATCATCTACATCACATACTATTATTATTATTATTATTATTTATTCAACCTGAACAAAGAATTACAAACAGTAATACAAAACCAAACAAAAATTACACAAAAGTGGTTGAAACGAAACGCACAACAAAAGAAACGTATAAACATGTAATTTAAATTTAAATTAAAATTTAAATTATTAAAAAATCATGAAGTAGAGGGCATGCACTTTAAATGACAGCTGGAGTGGGCTTCCCAATTGGGAGTTGAACAATAACCAGTAAGACACTAAAAATCACATAGAAAATGATTATGTGGGTCAGGGACCGCAAAAGCGAATCTAATCACTGTTGCTCGGAAGCATGCGGACCCGCACATAATGACAAATGAACAGGACAAAAAAGGCAAACAAATACGCAAGAACAAGATTACAAATGGCAGGGAAATAACACAATAAAGGGAAGCCCGAAGATTAAACTTAAGATTAAGTAAATTGCGCTGTAATGTGAGCTGGTCATGGAAGTGTGTCTTGAGACTGGCTAGAAATGAGTTTAGTGAATTAAGCACTGCAGAGTCCCAGATTGAAGTTGGTAAGTGATTCCAGAGTCTAGGAAAGCGACGGGTTGGTGAATGGAATAAAGCATCAGTACGAGCAGGAAGGTGACGAAATGTGAGGATGTTAGGATGACGTGGATTAATATGAAGGTTCTCATGGACGGATTCACAGTGTACTAGACCGTACAATACCTTGAATACAAATGAACACAGAATGAAATTTCGTCTGGAAGTGAGCATGGACCAATTGAGCTAATGGAGTCTTTCCTCATGGCATACAATAAAAGCACATCATTATTATTACCTAGGATGCCTTAACCAATGAAAATGCAGTATTGCTTTTTTCGGCTACCACTTTTCCCCAATTTCAATGGCTGTTTTCTGTTGCAGCTAAAATACACATCGTTTTAGACAAGTTTCCAGTCCTATCCTCTCTTACCGCACCGCGAGGGCGCACCGCTCACCGCAACATGAAAATTATTTGGCGAGACTGAAAAAGGCAATCTGATTTTTATTTTTCTGAACAACAAGAACCTACTTTGTCTTTTTCAACACTAGGAATTCCTAAGTAAAAAGTGCAAAGTAAATTTACAACTTACCTTTGAACATTTCGTTTTTGTGCTTCAAAAATGTTTCATTAAAAAAATAAGTATTAACACAAATAGGGGTCTTTATTATTTAATGCGCCTATCAATTGTTTCCCCCAAAAAAAATTGAAAGAAAAAATGGCAGATTTTCCAAGAAGATTTTGGTGTTCAAAGGAGCCGTCACCATTTTGACCAGATTTTGCGTACATACGGTAGCTTCAATTTTGCAGGAAACAAAAAGACGAAACACACATGTGTTGTTGCAAATGCATGATTTAAAAATAAAAAAGATGGTCGGCAGAAAAGAAGCACGCAAAGATAAGAAACTGGTTTACTTTTTTACTTGGCCTTAAGTTAGTTGATATAAAAGTTCAATGCTATGTAAAATGTACACATTTCAATCTATTTTTGTTTAACTTTTGTTTGATACATGATAGGCTTGGCTGTTACATGCATGGCTCTGAACAAAGTCCGCTACCTGGAGGCTATCAATCTACCGGTATCTATGGATGGAACCCATTGTTGAACATTTTCAAGGCCACCCTGCTTGGTTGGTCATAGGCCGTCAGTTCAGAACAGACGGCCCTGGGAGTTGCCTCTGAACAGCTGTTTCTCTGGATTCGTGGAAGAATTCGCCACCATCATTTTCGGTAAGTGTTTTCTCTTGAAGTTTTGGTTTAACCTTGACTACTTTGTCCTTTTTGTTTGTTTAAAACCAAATAACCATTATTTGCAGGGTTGAGATTTATCAGGATTTTTCCTGATTTCAGGAACTTTTGTCTGGATTTTTATTGATTTCAGGATTTTTAAAGAATCCTTTTTGTAATCTGGATTTCCTGAGGTTTTACCGTTAGGCCCCCCAAAAAAGTCTCCGGTTTCTGGTCTGCGCGCCAGCGCTTGCATCGTCGTAGCCATGCGTGTCGGCAAAATTATATGTAAAACTTTTTTTTTTTAATATAAGATGATGTCTCAAAACCGCCAAACTCACTGGTTTGACTGGAATCCTGCTGCTGCACAATTTTAATGTGTTTTTAGATGGGGTTACGATCAAGTTTCAGCTTTATGTAGTTTCTCTGAGCTCCCATATATTTTGCACTAAATTTAGTTTGGCACCATTTGCAGCAGACGGTGTTGTAATTTTGTAATTGTGGAAGCCAGACGAGGGAGCGATGGTCAGGTATCTGGAACCTGTAAACGCTTTTTAATTAGCGCAATATGTAAAGGAGCACACTAATGACCAGCCTGGCAGCACATGCACGATGGATCTGTATATTTGTCTTGACTATCCAAATTTCCCCGAAGAATGTTTGGGTCGAGATTGTAAGTGGGTGCAGAATTCTCAGGCCTTATGGCCTTACTGAGGTCACCTCAAGCTCCACTCTGAAGGAAATTTTTATATACATGTAAGGGATCAAAGCATCATCTGCAGCATCAGCCGACGTTTGAAGAAAAAAAGTAGGGGAAATTTTTTTTTTTAAAAACGTCGCCGCACCACTTTTGGGGCAAGCTCCGTACCAAAACCCAACAATTTTTTTGTTTGCCTTGAAGTGTTGTTTTTACCTATAAAATTTAACCACATGAGCTGAAAATTGTACCCATGCCAAGGCATTATCCACTGGCCTGATTCTATCGAAATCCTACAAAACCATGCAAAGAATTTGGAAGGATTTGGGAAATCTCATAAACCTGTATCGTCGTGGCGGTGATGGGTTCGAGTTCTCCAAATGCTCTCGATTTTCATGTGAGTGGAGAATTGTACCATTGCCTAGGTATTCTCCACTGGCTGATTCCATCAAAATTTTTCAAAACCAGGCAAATAATTAGAAGGATTTCAGATGGGCGTAAGTTCTCCAAGACCTGTATCGTCTTGGTGGTGACGGGTTCGAGTCTCTCCAAATGCTCTCGATTTAACCATGTGAGTCGAGAATTGTACCATTGCCTAGGTATTTTCAACTGGCTGATTCCATCAAAATCTTTCAAACCAGGCAAAGAATTTGAAGGATTTCAGATGGGCGTAAGTTCTCAAAGACCTTTATCGTCTTGGTGGTGACGGGTTCGAGTCTCTCCAATTTGTTGTAGACAATGTGCATAGAGAATTGTACGATTGCCAACATGGCCAAGGTATTATCCCCTGGTCTGATTCTGTTGAAAAGCTACAAAATCAGGCAAAGAATTTGGAAGAATTAGGGCTTATGAATTCTCTCAAAGGCAGAAAAATCGACCTTATCTCACCACTGGGTCTTTCAAATGTCCATTCACTCTTAATTAAAGGGAAAATACAACATTTGCAAACATCGAAAAATAAAACTACCAAGTTTTTACGAAATACCTTACTAGCATGTTGGTAAATGACAGTCTCAAGCATCTTGTAAAATTATGGCACCTGGTGTGAAGTCATTTTCAAGAAAATGGTATTTTTGTAAACATTTCCAACGGTGGTCGGCCGACCATCGTTGGAAAAACCTAACTATTTTTCAACTACTGCTCCAAATTTACCATTTTTTTCAGTCCAAATTTTGTTTGCTATTGGTTACAACGGTTCATGAACGGGTGCATGCCAGCTAGACTGGTTCCCTTGCCTTACAATTTCCATCATCTATAAATTGATCCATTTTAACTTTTGTGGAGTCAGGGAACCAGACTACTTGAACACTTTTGTTTTTCTTGGTTTTTCCAACCTTTTTGAACACCAAACTTCAAAAATGTCAGTGTAACAATATTTGATCTATTATACTAACCTCTCAAATAGTTCATTTCTGAAAATTACAGCAAAAGCCAATGATGTACATTCCCTTTAAGCCCAGTGTCACACACCTTAGATTAGATTAGATTAGATTTATTTCTTTATCGTCATGCTCAAAATTACATGAAAATTGATTTTCCCAGTGTACAATTAAAAATATGTTTTTAAAAAATATAGAAAAACATGACATAGCCAAAATATATTACAACAAATTTACAAAAACACAGTTACTACAATCATAAAACTCTAGGAGCAGTAAAGTATGATTTCGGGCCGTTGGGTGATTAGCAATTAGGGAAGAAATGAGGATGAGAAAACAGTTAAAAGCCACTATCTAGGACATTTGAATGAAATAAAAAGCACAAGCGTAGGGATAAAAACTATCTGGTGAATGTTGAGTTAAAAATCTGAATAACCCATGGTAAAAATGAAGATTTGAACCGGTTTGTTTTGAGACTAAGTTGACGTACTCTAAGTTGACGGGTTGAGGGTGACTTGTATCAGAGAGAATGCTGTTAAATTTGGTGATAAGATGATTCTTAGCTAAATGTTGGATGTCTTCAACGTTAACGCCAATTATCTTCATAGCTTGTTTGTCAATCCATTTAAGTTTTTTTCCGATTGCACTAACCAAGATATGTAGTGAGGTACATTAGTAACAAAAGTGCTAAGGATCGTTACACAGTGGACAAAAGCACCATTTTTTCACCAAAGCATCTCCATGGTAAACCTTTTCGAAAAAAAGACGGACGCAAAAAATTGGATAATGGGAAGGGCATGTATGACGTCATTATGACGTCATCAGCTAATGATTACATGAAAAAATATAAATTGATAATAATCTTTAGAACTACAAGCATCTCAACAACAAATTTGGTATCAAATTCAAAAGGCCAACAAGATCTTTCATTTGAGTAGTATGTCATTGGGATGGAATATAGTTGAGGGTGATTTTGTGGGTCAAAAAAAAACCTTTTTGGTCAAAAGACCTGTTTTTTCCGGCTAAAATCATGGATTTTGGGTAGTCACTTTGACACCTTGTTTTAACATGCAAACAGTATGTGGTATTGTGAGATGTTGTTTTGAAGTCAGAGAGAAAGGCTCAAATTCTATGCCAAAAGAGTTTTTGTAATTAATGCCCCCCCCAAAAAAAACCCCAATTTTTTTATATTTTTTTATGTGACATGGCAATAAAGGCAGGCAATGAGTACACCACCATCTTTTCCTCAAAAAAACATTGGTTAAAGTGGTCAGAAATTGCCTCAGATCGCACCACAGAGCATCTAGAATCCAAAAGTCCGAATTGAGAAAAAGGTTCGATAGCCCGAATTAAGAATAAGGTTCGATTGTCCGAATGGGCAATACGGTTCGTCAGTATGACTCTTCGGACTATCGGACCTTAGTGTTGATTCGGACTATCGGACCTTATTGTCGATTCGGACTATCGGACCATCATAGAGTCTTTTCGGACTATCGAACCTTATTGTCAATTCGGACTATCGAACCTTCGGACTATTGAACCTTATTTTCAAGCCCGCTGGAACAAACTTTTGCCAGGGGGTGCTGGAATTTCTAAAGGACGGACAAAATTAATGCAAACGCGGAGCGCAAAGCCCTTACGGCGTGGCTCAAAGGGCCCCTAAAAGTTTTGGAATATGGATGCTCTGTGGTGCAATATGAGGCGATTCCTGGCCACTGTCATATGACTATTTTAGCAAACGTTTTTTGAGATTATAAAGACAATTTATTTCCCTTTTTTGTTTAGAATATACTGTTGCTCATATAACGTTTCTACTGTACTGAAAAGTCGAAAACCCTGTATTTTTATCTCCATTCTTTGTTCCATTTAATTCTGTAAAAAGAATTGTATCATTATGCATGACATCGCATGTAAATATTATTGTTGCTAGGCTGCTTTCTTACATTTAGTAAATTCCGTCGTGTATGTTTTGTTTTATTTTCCGAGCCCTTACGGCGTGGGGCCACAGGGCCAGGGGCCTGCTTTAAGGCCCCGGAAAATGTTGGATTCTGGATGCACTTTGATGAAATATACTGAAGTATATACTTAAACTTATAAAACCCGAAAGGATTTTTTTTTGTTCAAGTTAAAACAAAATGGTTCCACTGGAAGCGGGTGAATTTCTGTTCATAAAAATATTTGCATAGGCCTAAACGATGTAGCTCTTGATATATTTGCAGTGTTATTTGTTTGTTACAGGGAATGGCAAATATAAAAGACTAACAGATCTTTATGTTTATGATCGGTAGGTGGCAAGTTTGGGGCTAGGCTAGGATTTATCGGTCTGCTGAGTTTTTATGAGAAAAAAACTTGCAGAGGGTAACACATGAATAGCTTTTTTATTAAAACGAAACTACACTGGAACTAGTTTCAATGGAAGCCCGTCCCACTCCTATTAGGTTGGGATGTGTGTGAACCTAGCTATTTGTTAATATTGAGTACAGAATGCTAGCAACGTCAATGAAACTTTTAAATGAAAAGAAAAACCTTCAGGGGAAAGGTATGCACTTTGCCCCTATTGAAAGATCGAATGAAAAAAATCGTGGCAAGCATAATCAACTTTGCCACCATTGTCATGGCCGAGGTTATTTTTTTCGGGTCATAGCTTCCATCACAGGGGAAAATATCATAGACATGTCATGATTTTAGATTCATTGAGAGAAAGATCGATTCTGCACTGCCTGAAGATTTAGAAAATACCTCCTCCTGATATTTTACAGTGTTACTTTGTGCTAGACGTTCGAAGCGCCGCGCTTAGCCGCGGCAAAACTAGAAACGAACAAAACGAAGGAGATATTTGTAGAGCAAGCATAATGTATAGCGCAGCGGCGCAATTTCAACGTCGTAGAACACTGCTGGCTGGAACACATTTTTGCTCCGGGAGTAGGGGGTGCTGAAGCATATTTCAGCACCCCAATCCAAAAAGTTGGGGGTTCTGCAGCACCCACAGCACCCCCCGTTCCCGCGGGCTTGTTATTGTCGTTTCGGACTATTGAACCTTCGGACTGATTAACCTTATCTCAATTCGGACTATTGAACCTTCGGATAAATAAACCTTCAGACTAATGAACCTTCGGATTAATGAACCTTCGGACTATTGCATCAAATGTTCGGATTAACGAACCTTATTTCATTTTCGGACTAACGAACCCCCTCTTATGGAAATTTTGTGCATTTGAACTATCGAACCTTCTGACTAAAGAACCTTCGGACTATTGGACCTTCGGACTATCGGGCGACCCCCGTTTGTAATACCATGGAGGAAGGAAAAGACATTGTTAAAGGACGTACCATCACCATTTCCGGCCACTCTGTTACTCTATTTCAGGTTACCACGTTCCTTTCTGTCTGGCTCCTAACCCATACCTCATTACCCGTAATATACAACACATATAAGAATGTTACGTCTTCCAGCTATAGTAAATGGTCAAAACAAATGGATGTGGTAAAGACCAAATTCAAGGAGCCGCACAATTTCACACAATTTATTTTCTGCGTGACAAATACCGTCTTTGTAGCACTTTTGTCCATAATCAAAAATGCTTAGATTTTTCAAGAAAATTTGAAAATAGTGACGTCACTGCAACAGCAAATCAGCTTATTGTTACTTAAATGTCACTGATTATTTCGCTCTTCAATTCCCTAACCCTCAAAATGTCAAATTAATTACTTGGAATCTCATCACAACGCTTCACGACCTTATTTCTACAATTAATTACTGTACAAGCTCGGTAGTATATTGTGACGTCATTATTACGTCATAAAGTACCCTTCCTGTCATCCGATTTTTTGCATCCTACCATATTTTTGATCGTAACACATTGGCAAAGCTTTGGTGAAAAAAATGTTGCTTTAAATACCATGTAACGATCCTTAGCATTTTTGTTACTAATATAGCGCGCTATAAGATGCCTCACTTTTCCACTTATCTTTGGAACAAGTTTAAACATATTTATGATACTAATAATCAATTACAAAAACTCTTTTGGCATTGAATTTGAACTTTTCTCTCTGACTTAAAAACAACATCTCACAATTAATACCACATACTGTTTGCATGTTGAAACAAAGTGTCAATGTGACTACCCAAAATCGATGATTTTAGCCTAAAAAACATGTCTTTTGACCAAAAAAGGTTTTTTGACCCACAAAATCACCCTTTACTATATTCCGTCCCCATTCCGTCCTTATACCACTCAAATGAAAGAGCTTGCTGTCCCCTTTAATTTGATACCACATTTGTTATTGTAATGCTTGTAGTTCTGAAGATTATTATCAATTTATATTTTTTTTCATGTAATAATTAGCTGATGACGTCATAATGACGTCATACATGCCCTTCCCATCATCCAATTTTTTGCGTCTGTCTTTTTTTCGAAAAGGTATACCATGGAGATGCTTTGGTGAAAAAATTGTGCTTTTGTCCACTGTGTCACGATTTTTTCACTAAGGTTCCTCACTAATGTACCTAAGATAACAGTCGACTGGATAGTGCTCTGATAAAAAAGTTTTAAAATCTGACAGTTCACATTAAAAGATTTAAGTTTCCTTAAAAAGTAAAGCCGTTGATTTGCTTTTTTTCTGAATTTTGTGTTTGCATTCCAATTTAACTTGTCATCCAAAACAGTTCCCAAGTATTTCAACTCCTGAACAATTTCAACATCTGTGTTGTCAATTTCAACCGGTTCCTTCATGTTTTTCGTTTTCTGGAAATCAAATATCATCTGTCTGGTTTTCTGTACATTTAAAATCAGGTGGTTTCTGTCGCACCACTCCACAAATCTATTTGATACTGCACCTCAGAGTTATTAGTGATCAGCCCAGATAAAGTGGTGTGATCAGCAGATTTTGTCATGACACGTGATCTACAGTAAACTCCGGCTAAGACGGCACTCTCTCGGGACCAGAGAATTTGTGACGACTTACGCGAATGTCGGCTTCTGCTGCAAGACGTCATTTTGCCGACTTCCACAAATACACAAATTGAATCACAGGGTGAAAAAAAATTGATTGAATTATTGGCCTATGCGCATCTGTATCTGGATCATGCAAACAAGATTCATGGCTAAAATTCAAAGGCTTTGATTTGCCCTGGTTTATTTCTGCATTCTCAAGTCCAAGTCCGATGGGTCTCCTATACCCTAGGACAACTTCGGCTCAGTTCTTGCCTATGGGTCACCTATACCCTGAGCTCCTTCCCCTTTTCCCCCTCACTGTGTACTGACATGCTCCAGTGATCATCCAGCATCCCTCAGTCAACTTGCATTCTGTCTCAGCTTACCGGTTTTGAGCTTCACCAGTTTGCATCCTTCTCACGCCTCACCGCACCCATCCTTATAACATCGCATCATCGTTGGAATTCCTCTATCTCCTGACGACGGGCAGAGCATACTGATCAAAACGTTGAGTCCCTCCGGTTCTTTTCAGAACCGCACATACACGTATGTACTCACAAAAGAGATTCATTCACATGGTGCTACCACAAACTTATCTTGTCTTAGTATCTTTCCACCATGCAAACCTTCAAAACTCAGATGTCAGTTAGCAGTGTATGAGACGTTTCACTCGACACTTCTTGCAAACCGCAGAGCACGATGACAGAGGAATTTTTGTGGTTTTGAGGAAATGGGACTGAAAGTAACACGCCGACATAGGCGAAATGGCGGCTTACAAAGACCAACTTAAAATGAACATGTCAATGGAAATGCATTAGAGACAATCGGGACTTTCGTCAGACGGCCGATTTAAGCGATGTGACGTTTTATACGATGTCGGTTTAGCCAGAGTTTACTGGACTTTCAGGGCAAAAAGCAGTAGTGTATAAAGAGAACGATAAAGGTGGCAAGATACAGCCTTGAGGCACCCCTGTGCTGATATGGGCAACATCTGATACTACATTCTCAAACCTGACCCTCTGTGATCTCTGCAATTAAAAAAATGGTTAATCCAGCTGTCCAGAGTGCAAGATAAGGGTTACATTTTGCACTTTGCTTAGGAGAGCATTATGGTTTGAAAGTGTTAAAAACAGATGAAAAGTAAAAAACAAGGTACGAAGATACTTTCCTGGTTTGTCGAGACGATCATAAATATCGTGTAGGTAGGTGATCATGGCATTTTCAACCCCACGTTTTGCTTTGTAAGCAAACTGAAAGGGATCTGCAAAACTAAGTGTTTCTACATGTTGTACAGTCAGAATGTCTCGAACGATTTTTTCCCAAAACATTCATCACTGTGGCTGTTAATGCAACTGGTCTATAGTCGTTGAGAATTGCCGGGTTGGTTTTCTTGGGAACAGGAACGATGATGGAAGATTTCCATCAGCTTGGTACAGTGTGACTGTCTAAGGACCACTGGAACAGGTGTTGGAACACTCACAAGTTCTTCAAGATTTCAGGAGCATCCCAGAGATCCTGTCAGGACCAGCAGTTTTACTTAGTTTGATGGCAGGGAGAGATTTCTCAACATCCCTGATTGAGAGTTGAAGCCTAGTACTGTCATTTAAACTTGACGCCAGTGCGCACAAAACTGTTCGTACAGGTAGGCAGGGTTATGATGTTGACCGTCCAGATCAAAGCGCCTGAACTGGTTCAAATCGTCCGCGAATTTCTTGGGGTCAACTTTCCGATATTACTGGTTTACTGGATCGTTGTTTTGATGGTCAGTCACGTGACGATCAACCACATGACGATCAGGAACATGACGATCAGTCACATGACGATCAGTCATTTGATGAAACAAAATACCAGCCGTCGACTTTGAATCGTGAATGCCTAATGCCGTCATGAATCTGATTGGTTAACGCAAATATCGTGTCCGTTGAAAACCGGAGTGCTTCCTGCGCATCTTTCTGATTACAATGGTTCCAATGACATAGGATGCGAAAAAGTCAAACATGTTTGATTTCTTCCGGTCGCCTGGTGTGGGTCAGATCGGTCCCATTTTTCACGGCAGCCTCTTCGATCTGGTCTGATGATCAATTGATCCATCGTCGTTTGCGAGTTAGCCACGCCCCTTTAGACAACACTATGGAGTTTTTGTACACTCGGTTTTATTTATCTCAGTTTTTGTGCATTCCGCGTTGATTTGTATATTTTGTAATTGGACAATGTTTCATAAGTGTGTTGACGCAATTCTACTGCGATTCTACTGCGATTCTACCATGATCGGTTAATTGAACCGGTAAAATTGCAAAGGTGTGGGGCGGGCTTAAATTGTGCTAGATATCCTCTCATAAAACCAAAGTCATTGTTCTTTTTTTCTAAAACGCAACATGCAATACTTTTTTGATGACTGCCCGCTATTTATTATGTCATTCATTAATGATTAGGCCAAACAAAAAAATAGTTCTGCTTCCGGTTTCCCTAAGTACCCTATTCTGACAGCCCCTACCCTATTTTTTTATTAGAAAATGAGGGGAAAAAACACCCAAAACCATCAATTTCTACCTTTTACCCTTGACTACATACAGACGCCTCCATATGATGGTACACAAAAAAAAAATTGCAAAAAAAAGAGAAAATTCCCTACCTAAATGTACCTACCCTATTTTCAAATGCCATGTAATCGGAATCAGAACTATTTTTTTTTTTTGGCCGTAATCATGTCAATCATACAGGTCTGCAGACACAATCCTTGGGCAGACATCAGCCTTGTGAAATGGCTAAATGTTTAAACGGTTCTTCAAATATTTGCTAAAGGTTTACAAAATTAAACGCAAAGTCACAACCTTCATTGAGAAATCACATGTGGATTGTTGTGTCATTCATGAGGTTATTGGTCAAAGGGCCAACAGATATCAATTGAATTTTTTTTCTTGTCATCAGATTGAGTAGAGCTAGCCTGGCGTCATGGCAACCAGTGGAGATGAGGGGTATGATGTGATCATTGTTGGAGCGGGGCTGTCTGGTCTGACTGCAGCGTACGCCATTCTGCAGAAGAAACCATCGGCCAGAGTACTAATCATTGAGGCTATTGGTAAGCACCAGGTGCAATCGGAAGTCAAATTGCAAATTAAATCATAAGTGAATTCATAAGCCAATAATAATTATGTGGCAGTGTCTAGTCAGTATTATAAGTCAAGTCACCCCTCAGATTGCAAGTCAAGTCACAAGTCAAATCACAGGTCAAATGTCAGGTCAAATCACCGGTCAAATCACAAGTCAAATCTCATTTCAAAGCCTAAGTCAATTATAAGTGTATGCAGTGACTAATGACTTACAATGGCTTATTTATGACTTGTGATGGCTTATAATGACTTGTGATGGCGTATGATGACTTGCAGTGACTTATAATAAATTATGATAGCTTATGATGCCTTGCAATGGCTTAGGATGACTTGCAATGGCTCATGATGCCTTGCAATGTGTCAAGTTGCGTTGGGATGGCTTAGAATGACTTTATGTCAAATCTGACTATGCTGCTGAACATTCAGTTGACCAACATTTTCAGTTCTCCTGAAGACGATCCAAGTTTATGTATTGAAACATTGACTAATTTACCCAATGGTTTTGCATTTAATACCAACGTTTGAACAGATATTTTCACAGAATGACTGCAAGGCCCCCACTGTTCACTTCTCCATCAAAAACTTCTGACAACTTCTAAAGGAAGTTTCTGTTGGGAACACATTTAAAGGGTTGTGTAGGGTTAGGGCCAATAATGGGTCTGTTTTCTTAATTCGGCAGATCGCATCGGAGGAGACATGTCGAGTGAAACGCTGAAAAGCTCCTCTGGATCCAACGAATGGGACACTTGTGGAAGTCGTATCGGAAGGTAGGTAAATTTGGGTAAATCCAGTATTGACAAAATAAGTAGTTTACGTGAATCAACTTGGCAACTCTAATTTTGCATACTGGTACTACTGGTAAAAAAAACATGTTCTACTTTTGATCCTAAATAAATCTGTTGCTTACAGATGCAATTAAACCAAAATTTGAAATCATGTAAACAAGGCATGACACATTTTATGGAACGAGTTTCATCAGCTTTGTGCAAGAGGGTGAGATTTAAACGCCATACGAAAAAAACGGTCGCTTTCAGAATATTCCACTTTCGACTTGGCTTCCTCCAATGTCGATACAGCGCTGGAGACAGTGGCAGAGGGCGCCTACTAAGGCCAAAAGCTTCTGAAGGAATGTAGGATCACCCCTGAAGTCATTGCACATTGTGATTGATTTGTGATTTGACTCTTGATTGGGCTTGTGAGTGACATAATGATAATAATAATGGCGTCTTGTATAGCGCTCATGTCCGTCATGAAGTGATGCTCCTGGCACTCTTATTATTACCCTGGCTTTAGCACGGCTGCCATTACGGCACTCAAGCATTGAAGGAATTTCTGCCTACCAGGTACCAATTTACTACACCTGGGTGGAGAGAGGCAATTGCAGTAAAGTGCCTTGCTTAAGAGCACAAGCACCATGTTCCCCGTCAGGATTCGAACCCACGTACCACGGCACATGAGTCGAACACCGTAACCACTGGACCACAGCACCCATTGTTATTTGACTTGTGATTGACTCTTGATTTTCTGTTTGAATGACACACGTATGACTTGTGATTGACTTGTGACTGACATGTGATTGTCCTGTGATTGACATGTGATTGACTCCTGGTTCCTCATCAGTTCCCAAAAGGAGATCCTGAAGCTTCTAGCAGACCTGGGCATGGAGACACACCAACAGTACAACAAGGGCAACAAGTTCTGGAGACTACCGGACGGGAAACTCAAGAAATTCTCTGGTGCCATCCCTCCACTGCCTTACACGACCCTGCTAGATGTCGTCAGATACTTCAAGAAGGTTGGCAATCTCTCTGCCTGCTCTTGTCAATATTAATGGCTACCTGTCGTCCAATAGGAACATTTGTAAACTAGGGAGGGTTTGCAGTAAACACCATGTGGGAGGAACTCTTCGGAGAAAAGCCCGGAGAAAGCTGGGCAGGGTGGATGCTCTGAAGACGATCAGAGCAAGCATACTGATTGGAACATCGAGTTTCACAACCAACGGGTTCTTTACAGAACCACACACCTTCTCAAAAGAGATTCTTCCACATGGTGTTACTGCAACACTCACCAGTTAGCACTACTGCCATGCAAAGTTTCAAATCACATTTAGGAGCATTTGTAGAACGTTGTTTGATAGTTGCTCATGAAAAAAATGAGAAAATTGGTCACACACTACGTGTTTTCAGCATGCTAGATTCATACCGAGTGCGCTAGATCAAATTTTCTGAATAGACTCACCGCATTCACATTTTACCGCGAACGATAGTTTAAAAGCCAAGTGTACAGGGCCAAATTTCACAGTGCTGCTAAGCACACGATTTGCTGCTAACAGAGCCTCCGTCTATTTCATCGAGACTGTAAGCATAAGCACAGCAAAAGGAACGCTTACTTCAGAGGAAAAATGTGCTTAACTTAGTGATGTAACAATAGAAATCTCTATGTGGTGTGTCCCATCCAAGGGGTTCTCAAAAAAGGGGAAGAAAGTGCCCTCTCTTGTTGGCGCACGGAGCCATTTGCGATTGTGGCAAATTTTTCCGGCACCGGAGCAAAACCCACCAGCATCCCTGCCAGAAACAGCTCTTGCGATCCCCAAATGCTTTTAGGGTTTAATTATGTGTTGTATGGCCATAACCTCATTTCTTTCGCAAATGTCTTTCAAATCTTGATGTTTTTTTTCCCCCAATCAAGGTCGATGGTATGCAGGGACAGATCAACATGGAGCGAGTCAAAGACTGCAAACATGCTGAGGAGTGGGATGGCATGACAGTTGAAGATTTCCTGAAGAAGTATCTATGGACAAATAGTGAGTAATGGCACCTTGCATGAACCACAGGGAGGGGAGGGGGGGGGTGTAGGGAACTTGATTACAGTGAAACGCTGCTATACTGAACACCGCTATACCGAACACCGCCATACCAAACATTCGACTATACCGAACATCATCCTTGGCTCCCGGTTTTAATGTACAAAACGTACCGAACATTGTTGTTGAAAAAAGTCAACAGACTAACAAAAAATCTACCGGTTGTGTATGTATTAAACTCTATTTGGGCCACTTTTTAATTCCCGTACATCACACGACCCATAGTTACATCGTGTTTGAATGTTGAAGAGCGATAGATGGCTATTATTTCCTCAAGGAATAGAAGTGAAAACCACTTGTGAGAAATACCAGTTCACTATTGGTCAAAAGAAGGTACTGGCGGTTAAAAATCACTATACCGAACGATCGTTATTACGAACACTTTCTGTGGATCCCACGATGTTCGTTATAGTTGCGCTCCACTGTGCTGCCAGCCCTACTGCACTATTCATCTTTTTGCCGTTTGAGAGAGATTTTGTAAAGAGTTTTTGTGAAATCCATCACAAGTCAGTCACAACTCAATCACAAGCCAGCCACAATTCAATCACTAATCAAATTTCAATTTGATCGCAAGTCATGTCACATGTCAAAAGATCAGAAGTCAAAGGTCGCAACTATCAGTTTGAAATTATTTCATCGTTGGACTTTGGTCTGGATAAACATGTGGTAAAGTTGTGCTTAGCTTGCGATGACGTGCGATGACTTTTGGATGACTTGCGATGAACTTGCCATTGACTTGACTTGGTGATTGATTTGTGATTGACTTGTGATTGACAGTGATCGACTTGTGATTGACTTGTGATTGACAGTGATCGACCTGTGATTGACTTATGATGGACTTGTGATTTATAGTGATTGACTTGTGATGACTTGTGATGACTTGTGATGAGTCAAGTCTTTCACTTGACTTATGTATGACTTGTGATTGACTTGCAATGAACTTGTGATTGACTTGACTTACAATTGACTTGTGATTGACTTGTGATCAACTTGTCATTGACTTGTGATGACTTGACTTGTGATCAACTTGTGATTGACTTGCGATGACTTGACTTGTGATCGACTTGTGATTGACTTGTCTTGTGATTGACTTGCGATTGACTTGTGATGAACTTGTGATTGACTTGACTTATGATTGACTTGTGATTGACTTGCGACTGTGTTGTGATGACACGTTTTGTATCCCATACATAACCCCTTTGAATTTCACATACCACGCTACAGCCTCGCATAAATTCTTATTTTTCTTTCCTGTTTTACAGTTGGGAAGATTACCATTGAAACGATGACCAGGTCATTTTGTAACTCCAGTCCCTCCGAGTTGACAATGATGCAATATCTGTACATCATCCACACGTGTGGTGGCTGGGACCCACATATAAACAGCGGTGACAAGGGACGCTCGGATCTGGTTATTAAGGTCAGTTAGGTCTTGCTTTATGCCTTTACAGGGTGAGTAAAAAAAATGAAACCCAAATGTGGAGACTATTGTTTTATTGAAGCTCTGCATGTAGCACTTTCAAAATCTAGGATATGAAAACCCAATTCATAAGCTTTCTTTTAGTACAAGAATCATTCAAATCACTTATGTACCTTTTCAAGTTACGGAATTTTAAACACAACCATCGTTTTAAGGTTCTGTCCACGGATCACAACAAACTTCAGTGTTCTCTCAGCCAAACGAAAACAAATCACATAGGGATGTGTGTGAATTGTTTTCGCTTTGCTGAAGGAATGCACACCTTTTTTTGGTGATCCGTGGACAGAACCTTAAAACGGTGGTTGTGTTTAAAATTCCGTAACTTGAAAAGTATGTGAGTGATTTGAATGATTCTTGTGCTAAAAGAAAGCTTATGAATTGGGCTTTCATATCCTAGATTTTGAAAGTGCTACATTTAGAACTTCCCTTAAACAATGGTCCCAACATTTGGGGTTTTTTTTTTTGACTCGCCCTGTTTTTCACCAAGTAGTACCGCCCCAAAACATCCTGCCTGTTCCTCCTTATTCCTCCCCACACCACCTGAGCACTGTATGGCATTGTGGATTTATCAAGGAGATAATGCATTGTTTAAAACAGGGTGGCCCCCAAAAAGTTGACATTTTTTTCAGACGCAGATTTCTCAAACTTTGGTAGACATATTGAAACTGCTTTAAGATTTTCCTAAACTACAAGGTCTTGGTGCAGTATGGTGAAAATGGCACTGAAAATAAAGCCTAAGTAAAGAAATGACGGCCATTTACATGTACATAAAAAAGGTCAATAACCAGTTTGTCTACAAGCGTGTATGAGATACATGTGTGGTCATCAGTATGGCAGTACTTTGTGCACGCAGTGCTGTTGTGTTGACCAAGTTTCATACTTGTATTCGGATAAACTGGTTTTTGACAGTTTCTGTGTAAAATGGCCGTCATTTCTTAATTTTATGCTTTATGCCATTTGTATTACATTGTATTACAATTGTATTACATTGTTTATTCTCGGATGAGTCCAGGAAACCACACGGTGCTTGCCTGGGGCACTTTTTCGATGGTTTTGGGCGGTACACGAATGCATTGAAACATCAAGCAATGAAAAAAAAATGCAATTTGCTCATGAATAAGAGGTGAAATCATACATAAATGCAACAAAGTTTAAGGGAAAGAAGTGCAAAATTACAGGTCTCGCTGAATATGGCTGGGTTTTTTTTGAAAAAAAGTTTAACACTGAGTGCAGATAATAAATCCACATTCTTAAATTTCTGTCCACATAGGATGGAGCCATGTCACTGTGCCGTAAACTCACTGACAAAATTGGCGAGCAGAACATCGCGTTTGGAGAAACGGTCACCAGCGTCACAGAGCAAGGTGGCCAGATCAAACTCAGCATGGAGTCTGGGAAGGAATACCGCACACAGCAAGTCATCATGGCCATACCCTGCAGGCTAGCAGGTAAAATACTTATAATTATTTATACTGTGCTTATGCAGTGTGTATCACAAAAAGTACTAACAAAATATAACAGAATGATACACGTAGAATGTGTAACCAGGTTCGAAAGATACGCCTTTCTACTTTAAAATGAGACATTTTCCAAGAGAGGTCAAATTGACCATGGGACCAAGTTTTCAATTTTAGGCATTGGGACAAAGGAAGCCTAATAGCCTCTGTGTGGATATTTGCCTGGCCTACAAAAATGTGATTAGCGAGTAAACACAATTCTAAACACTTTCTTGCTATCAGTTTGTAAACATGTTTAAAGCTAAACATTTTTAGGATGAGGTGATAGCAAGAAAGTGATTGTGTTTACTCGCTAAACACATTTTTTCGTAGGCCAGGCAAATATCCACACAGAGGCAATTAGGCTACCTTTGTCCCAATGCCTAAAATTGAAATCTTGGTCCCATGGTCAATTTGACCTCTCTTGGAAAATTACTCATAACTCTGTCAAAAATTATCAGATTTAGATGTTTGATGTCTCATTTTAAAGTGGAAAAGCTTTCAAACCAAACCTACTATGTTGGTTGGATTACACGTCTGGCATTCTGTTATACTTTGTTTGTATCGTATGTAGCGCTTCAGACCAAAGGTCTCAAAGTGCTGCGCAATTGTTACCCCTGTTCATCAGGCCATGAGACCAGTTCTCTGCAGCAGCTCGAGATCAGTGCAAGAACCATACTCTAAGGCCAAAAAAAAAAAGCCTCCGGTTTCTGGTATGCGCGCGCGTCGCCGTAGCCATGCGCGTCGGCAAAATGAAAAAAAAAAAATTTCAATAAAAGATGATGTCTCAAAACCGCCCAACTCAATGGTTTGACTGGAATCCTGCTGCTTCACAATTTTAACGTGTTTTTAGATTGGGTTATGGTCGAGAATAAGCTTTATGTGGCCTCTCTGGACTCCCATATATCTGCACTAGGTTTAGTCGGGCACCATTTGCAGTCATCAGCCGACATTTAAAGCAAAAAAATCAGGTAAAAAAAAATTAAAAGCCGCGTCGCCGCACCACTTTTTGGGCAAGCTCCATACCAGAAACTGGAGCCTTTTTTTTTTTGGCCTAAGGTACCCATTTATACTCCTAGGTAGAGGGAAGCTAAAAGCCCCTCTCAGGAACAGCTTTCTTCGTAGAAAAATTACAATTGTGTATTGATGATGTAAGTTACGTGTACGTGCAGTGTGCAAAATGTTCTAAACACGTGCGCATGTTGCTAACAATTTCTTCGAAATACTAATGCGCGTGGCAATCTGTAGGCATTGACGTCATCTGAGAGAGCTTTGTAGTAAAGTGTCTTTCCCAAGAACACAAGCACCATGTTTCTGTCGGGGTTGGAACCCGCATCCTACGGCACATGAGTGGAAACTGTTGGACCATGGCGCTCCCCTCGATCACCAATCCAACAGAATCAATCATAAAGACACCTTTTCCATTATTTTCCTTCAATTTTTCACATGCAGTTTTATTTAAACATTTTTTATTTCCCCCCTGTTTATCTCCCCAGGTCATGTGACCTACAATCCTCCACTGCCATTGGACAGAGGCCGAACTCTTCCAAAGAACAATGATCTGATCATGAGCCTGATCACCTATAAGTCGGTAAGTCACTTTTTCATCTGTTTCTAAGTGCTACCAAAAAGGAGGTCGTGGGTTCGAGTCCCACCAAACCCAGTTTGTAAAATTCTGTGGTTTTGTATCTGGACAGTAATTTTTATTCAAATTTTCGGTCAATATTTTTTGCACATTGTATGGGTCACAGAGAGCAAAAGGGTTGGGGACAAACTGCCAAGACTATTTAAAGATAATTTGAAAAAGTGAGGATCAATTTGTTAAATTTTGGAGTTTCCCTTTTTTCTCTATCAGCCTTTTTGGCGCGAAGCAGGCCACACTGGGGAATACCTCAACATGGCCGCCAGTGCACCTAGCAACCCAGGCAACGTGGATGACACACTAGTCATAACCTTTGACATGACCTTACCAGGAGGTCAGCCAGCCCTGGAGGCCTTCAGCAATCCCGCCAAACTGCAGGGAAAGTCGGTAAGCACATCAACACATCCTAACCCATATCAACAAAACCCAACCCAGCCCAGCCCAGCCCAGCCCCGCCCAGCAAAGCAAAACGCAACCCAAAGCATTGCAACCAAATCCAATCCAACCCAACACACCTCAACTCAACCCAACTCAACCCTTGCGATGACTTGTGTTGACTTGTGTTGACTTGTGTAGTCTTGTGATTGATTTGTGATTGAAGTTTGATTTACTTGTGATTACTGAATACCAGTAACCCAACCTTACCCTTGCAATGACTTGTAACTGATGTGTGATGACTTGCAATGACTTATGATGACTTGTGATGACTTATGATGACTTGTGATGACTTATGATAACTCGTGATGACTTGCGATGACTTGCGATGACTTGCGATGACTTGCGATGACTTGTGATGGACTTGTGATGACTTACGAAGACTTGTGAGAACTTGTGATAGACTTGTGATGGACTTGTGATGGACTTGCGATGACTTGTGAAGACTTGTGATGACTTGTGATGACTTGTGATGACTTGTGATGACTTTTGATGACCTTGTGAAGACCTGTGATTAAGTTGTGATTGAACTGTTATTTAACTGTGAATACTGAATAACTTGTGTTTCATATGTGAAGACTGAAGATTGACTTGTGATAGCTTTTGATAACTCATGATTGACGAGTGATGAACAGATCTCAACTCTGCAGCTAGTTAATTTTGCTAGCCTGAATGTTCAATTCTGCTCAAGAGTTGTCAACTGACAAACGCTGAAAATTCTTTTCTTTTCTTGACAGAAAGAAGAGCGGAAAGACATCGTCCTTCGTTTACTGAGTGACGTCTTTGGCCCTCAAGTCCTGGATTGCCTGGACTATACAGAGAGAGTAAGTCAAGCTGCGTCTGAATTACCTGGCTGTGACTGTGGCTAACGGTAACACGATTGTCTATGGGAAGTGCTTAAGCCTGTCCCATAAGCCCCTGTGTAATTACACAGCCATAACCATAGCCACAAGTAAAACTCAGCCTCATACTCAGCCACAGGAGTAACATGTCCCAATATCACGGCTCTCCTAACTGCAGAACTCTTATAACACTTTGTGCTTCAGAAATTCTGCTCTAACCCTGGGAGTACTTTGTATTTATGTGACAATTCGGGCGATTTACAATGTGCGCCACCAAGAGTTTGCCATGAAGACTCCATTTTTAAGTTTACGGTTGACAAAACATGGCCCATATGAATGAGTGTCAGTAGCCATGAGCTAATTTGTTATAGATTGGGGCATAGCATTCTGCCGCCTTACAAAAAACACCATATTGGTAGAAAAGGGGCAAACAGATATTCGAATCGTATGCTCATGAAACTACTGACCGAAAAAACGAACAATTTCAAATGTCCCGCGCTGCGAATTTGTCAACCATCTCCCACAATGCACTGGGAAAAATGAGCTCTCCGTGGCAAACTCTTGACAGGGCATTGCATTGTGCTTGCCACCCATGAAATACCCTAAATTTTAGCGTACACTTCCTGAAACAGCGAGCACAGATTTGTCCTCTATAAACTACTGAGCCGTGCTTGGGCGCAGAACCTACAGCATTAGGAATGAAACTGCCCTCACATCAATATGTGTTATTTTGCCAAAGTTTAATTTTAAGAATATCAAATAGATTTTGTATCTATGCAGGTCGGTTTTATTTTTTAGATGGTGGGATTTTTTCTTCCAAACAAAAGTGTTTATTACAGAAAAGCAACTTTTTGGGGAGGAGTTTTTGTTTTTTTGCTTCAAAATAGGAACATTGGAATTTACCCGCAACCCAAATTACCCTGGAACCTTTTAAATTCCTGACCGGATTTGTTTGATTCCAATGGAATCGTGACTACAGAAAACACTGGATTTAATTGGTATTGTTAGAGTCTGGAAGAGTCCTAGCCAAATTTCATCAAAAGGGGGTTCAGGATTTTTCCAGCTTCTAATATCTGAGTGGTTTTACGATTCATGTACATTGTATTACAGGAATGGGTGAGCGGGCCGGTCACCGACGCCGACAGAGCACCAGTCAGTAAGTCCTCCGAACTTCTGGCCGCGGTCACGAAGCCGCATGGAAGGTGAGTTTGTTAAAAGTGAAATTGTTCGAAGTCAAAATTCATTGACTTTTCTTGATTTCAAAATTTTTGAAGAATCACTTTTTAAATGTGGAATTCCAGAAAGTTAAACCGTTAAGCTTTTTTTACCTTCATAGCCTTGCTATTTTATGACATTATACAAAATAGTGTGTCCATAGACCCTATGTTGTTCTTGCGCCCTCGGTGGCCATCAAACCCTCTGTTGATAAGTTTGTGGACCCTTCATTGTCTCCCAATGTTGCCCCTGACAAATTTATGACGTTAAAATATTTATGCATTCACACAAAGTGAACTTAAGTTTCTATCACAATGGAAATCAAGGACTTTTTATAGAATGTGCGATCAGACACACCAAGCAGCTTGGTTCATCTGACTCTGTTTTCTTTTTTTTACCCGTGTATCCCAGGGTGCATTGGGCCGGCTCGGATGCCGCAACGGCGTGGTGCGGTACTCTCAACGGCGCGGTACAAGCAGGACAGCGAGCGGCAGACGAGATTATTGCAACGATCTAGTAACGCTGGTCTTTGGACTGTAAATCCCCTAAACGGCAGGCCTCAATACTCAACCTCTCCATACAATTGCCAGAATTCCACTGTTTCATTGGTAGGCTGTTGTTTCAAGATCTGTTTTAAAGATGTACAAGTTCAAGTTTAACACCAAATTTGTTTGCGGCTGGACAATAATTCAATTCTCGGAAGGGCGTTCTTGCCCCCATATCGGGACCAATAATGTTGGGACTTGGGATCAGTCTGTTTGCAATGCGCATACCCCTCTCGTGTGAATACCTCTCACGGGAGTGGATTAGCTTGATCACAGAGCTCGTGGAGTATGCTTGGAAATTCCTTGGTAGCTCTGCCAAAATTCCCAAGACTAGATTTGATTCATAGTCTTGTTGATACTTAGCTCTACTGTGGTAAAGCCACCGGGCTTTTACCACATTTTTCAAGGGCTGGCTGTTTGAGTGGAATGAATTCAAATTCCAATCTGGGACCAAGACTAATTTGAGAAAATCACAACCAACATGCATAATCAGAAGGTCGATTTAAATAAAAAAGACACTTGACCTTTTACTACCTCATTAACATAGGTCAGTGAGTATGCAGGCTGCTTTTTTGCATAATTGTTCAGACTATTGAGGTTTGCCCGCAGTCAAAAATGTTGCCAATAACCGGGGAAACCTTAAAATTGTTTAATTCAAACTTGATGAAGGACTTTCAGTACTCAGTCTAATTCTTCCATCTTTTTTCCTAGCAGTTGAAACACGTAACGTAAGAAATATCTTCTATCTGTTACCTTTCTCGATCTCTGTATCAATTGATTGCAATAATGTGATTTTATGTTTAGATATATATTGATATTTTAAGAAAGATGTTATGAAAAAAATTGCAATATAATTGTTGGGTTTTTTTTGGTAATTTTATATTCTGCCTGAGAATTTTAGATGTAGTATTAATCATGAATATTGTCACCGTTTTCACGAAGGGGCAAATTTCATGAAAATCGCTTGCTTTCGAAATTTGTGTTTTAGTGAAAATGAATAATTTTTCAATATCTACCACCTGGAAAGGTTTTACTTTCCAAAATTAATTAAAATCTTAAGTAACCTAATAAACGAAAGGGCGAATTTGCCAAAAGTGCCGTTCTGCGTTTTCAAGAAGGGGCGAATTTCTGCACTCTATGGTATTAATAAAGTTTCAGTCAATAAATACATTGTAATACAATGGCGCGTATAGGCGAACTCGAGGTGAATTTCAAGGCGTATGTGCAGTGGGGCAGAATCTGCGCGTACTGTACAAAAAATGCATTGACTGAGACCGCAGAAGGGTGAAATCTGCGCGTAGTTACTTTAGCATTTTCACGAAGGGGCAAATTTGCTAATTGGTCTTTTTTTTTTTTCGTTTGCATGAACAGCCACTTCTCTTTATTGTGAAAAACTAATCACCTATTTTTCTTAAAGTTTGCTACATTTAGGAAGATTAGAAGCTCTTCTTTCTTCTGATACTTAAATCTTGCATATTTCATGCATCTTTAAGATTCAAATTGTCAAATGGAAAAAAGGACCAACTTTAAACGTGATTATCTCGACTATTGGTTCAGACAGTGAAATACTAAATGTGAAAACGGTGACGATATGTATGAATATACGCATATTCATTATAGAGCAAAACAGTGATTAGTATTTTGTTGTTAAAAAAAGGTGTCATAGGAAGTATGAACCCTATGAAGTTTGAATGGAATCTCAGCCTTACCAATGTTTGTGAGGTCTCTATGCTCTGTGCACCAGTTCATTAGGTATGCAAGCAATGCGTCTGTATTTTGCTAATAAAATTTAAAGCATGTATCTAGAAAACAGAAAAGTATAATAATATCTTAACATTAAAAAAAGTTTGTAAAAAACAATCTAGACCTACTAATTTTATTGTGATTCCTGATTTGTTTTGGCAAGAAGCAAGCTTGATGTCTCTCATATGATGCAGCAGAAATATATTTCCGTTTAAATAGATAAAAATCGACGATAAACGCAACAAAACAAATTCCTCAAAACTTGCATATTTTGCTGTGAAAATAATAAGATGAGTGCTTTACTGACATGTAAGCAGCTCTTTTTGGTACAAAAATATTGCTGCTGTCCATGTTGTGCATTTTTATTTTCCCACAGTTTTGGTTAATTTTCAATTAATCACAAACTGTGGATTTCAGTTCACGCATTTATGGATTATGATTTTGAATATTAAAACTAGGTAAGTGTGTAACTTTCAAATGTAAAACATTTTTCACTCAGTTTACTCCTAGCAATATTTTCATTTATTTAAAGCCACATTTTGAATGAGTAAAATAAAAGCAAAATTTTTATTTACATTTACATCTCGATCATCTCTTTTATTTCCTGAAGTCTGCGAAAAGAGCCTAGAAATATTATCAAAAATATTTTAATGTGTTGGAAATATCTTGTCTGCATGTTTCAAGCAATTTCACTTTTGGCCAAAATTTAAAAAGAAAAAAAAAAGGGGGTTAGCCTTACATTTTTAATGAAATTTGGCCATATTTCTCTTGTGTCCAATTATATCATGGCTAAATAGAACGCCAGAGGTACGTACCGCTGGGGGCGACAATTATTGGTCGCCCGTAGCGGAAGTTCTATCCTCTAGGGGCGACAACAGTCGCCCGTAGCGGTACGTACCGCTGAGGGCGCTCAACAACAGTCGCCCGTAGCGGTATATATACCTCTGGGGGCGACCAACAACAGTCGCCCGTAGCGGTATACAGAAACGCACATACCTCTAGGGGCGACAATATGGTCGCCCCCAGAGGTACGTACCGCTGGGGGCGACAATTATTTGTCGCCCGTAGCGACAGTTCTATCCTCTGGGGGCGACAACATTCGCCCGTAGCGGTACGTACCGCTGAGGGCGCTCAACAACAGTCGCCCGTAGCGGTATATATACCTCTGGGGGCGACAATATGGTCGCCCCCAGAGGTACGTTCCGCTGGGGGCGACAATTATTGGTCGCCCGTAGCGGAAATTGTATCCTCTAGGGGCGACAACAGTCGCCCGTAGCGGTACGTACCGCTGAGGGCGCTCAACAACAGTCGCCCGTAGCGGTACACGTACTTGTCGCCGGCAGCGGTACTTTATGGTCAACAGTCGTCCGTAGTGACAAACAACTATTGGTCTCCCTTAGCGGAACTCCCGCTGTGGAGGACCGTTATTGATCGCCGCTGAGGGCGACAAACAACGGTCGCCCCCAGAGGTACGTACCGCTGGGGGAGATTAATAAGGCTCGCCCCTTGAGGTGCGACCGCTACGGGCGATCAATTAAAAATCCGGCAAAAAATATATTTATAAGTTTACGAATTTGGTCAAAGGTAGCGCTAAAAGGTCATGATTTATATTTCATTCGCAAGGGTTTGTGATAAAATCTTGTATAAAGAGATTTTCAAAAGAAGGTTCTTGATCGCGAGGTCCTAAATTTGTTAAAGCCACAGTCCATCATTTGCATCTATCGTTTTTCTTGGAATATACAGCATTCACCGAGTTAAAACTTTATCAGTTCAATTGTTCAGCACCCTTTAGATTTTGAGCACTTTTGTTGCTTCAAATGAACAAAATGCACAAATTACAAATAATGGACTATACCTTTACATTTTTATTAAACAAAATGACAAACAAAAACCACACAAAAGTAATTTCTTTTTATTATCGTGCTCTATTTGTCTTTTATTATTTCTAACAGTACAGACGGTGACATACTGTATTATAACACCATGCTCTAGTTTGTTTAGTTTGACATGTACAATTTAGGTATGACAATAACTGCACATTAAACTGTCTGCTACAAAGCTGGTTTACTATTGCATTTGGACCCAAACTCCGTGTATAAAATTCATGTATCAGGTCAGGTACAAATTTTTCTTATTTTTCCACAATTTTTACGTTTTGGATTTTGAAAGTGTGCAGTCAGCTAGCATGAGTTGTGCTTCTTTTGAAAACCATAGCCAATTAAAAACAAGTTGTCAAACATCACCTTTTTAAAGTTAGGAGGTTGGCTGTAAATGTACATTAACTCTGCATTTTGCAACCTTTTTGAAGGTGTGTTTTGTTATGCTAATTCATTAACAATGAATGCATAAGAGTCATCTAATGCATATTCATATGGCGCAAAAGAACACACCCAATAGATGACTGCACTGCAAACAGTCTTTCTGGAAGATCTGTTTTGGAATTGAAACTTAACAGGGGAATTTTTTTTAAGAAATCAGTTTCCAGATAAAATTTGCCCGTCGACTGGGAAAAACCCTTATTAAATATTCATGCCACATGTTAACAACTATAGCATCTGATTGGACAAGGGTTAGACAACCTCCTGCATTATTCACGTTTTCTTAAAAAGGTAGCCTTGATGTATGCACAGTGAAGGGTTTTCTAATGGGAAGCCGGCCCATCAACAGTGTGTCTATATTTAACCATTACAGCCAAATCATTTTCTGTTTTAAGTCGTCACTAATCTACAATTAGGTCATGTTTCTTGATAAAATAACTTATTTTAACAATTTCATCATCAACAGTGATTCTCCTAATATATACATTTCAACTTACACCAAGCCACAGTGTGCTAATTTACATATTCAAACCTGGGGCATTATGACATGCAAATTACATGCAAATGTTTATGCAAAAATATGTAAACGATATGCAAAAGTAATGCAAATATGATAATGCCCCGGTCCAAACAACTCATTTTTTTGCTCAATCACTGCAATACATGTTCATAATCTCACATGAAACATTAATATGTACATACTACAGTTTTGTTATGTTTATATCTATACACATATATATTAATATACAGATATTATATTTCCCTGTGATTTATTAACAAAATTAATTAATGTTCTCCCAAATAATTTGTCAGTATTTCATTACTGTAGTCAATAATTAATGAATAATTCATGATCTCCTGATTGACTGGAATACAATGTCAGATTATACAAATAGCAAGGAATGGTTGATGATTGTTATCGTAAGAATGAATAATAACATCTTGATGAAAATATACTTTGAATCAAGTAATGCGAGAAAGAGAGAAAATAACAGAAGAAAATGTAAATGTTGTGTCACACTGGCAGAAAGGATGTAAATTATACAATTTTTTGGTAAGACATTTTTGGTCATTATCTTGGATACAATACACAGGATACTGATATTCTCCGTATTGAACTAATAAATGAATGAATACACACAATTTTAGTCCAGTGTTGAGAAATATCCACAGCCACTACAGGAATGCGCGTTAGCATTTTCCTCTATACTCTTGGCACAAGTAGGGCGAAGTGCGCTGCGTATTCTGTTCCGTGCGCACAGCTTAAGTGTGTGAAGACATCAGCGCGCGAACCGGAGTGAACCAGAACAACGAAAGCTGACGTCGCACTTCGGTATTCAATTGACTCAAACAGTGTCATACTATTGTTGTCCCTGTACCTCAAACAGGTTAGCAACTGGAAAGGGAAATATTTTATCTTCAAGCAGAATTTTTTTTGGAGGAATTTACGGTAGAATTCACATTGATATTATCTGCCAATGAACACAACATGCGGTGGAGACAACTGAAAAATAACCAAATAAAATAAAACTAACTCTTTTAACAAAATAAATTTGACACAAATCATTGACTTTTACATTGCACAAAACGAAAAACTGTTTTAAGTATTAATATCAACCACCCCCAACAAACAGGTTCAAGTCAAATATTATCCTGGATTATTTTCTAAACCGACGGGAAAAAAAGAGAGCAATATTGGCCATTTTTTTCAAACAAAGTTCACTCAATGGGTTTTATGCATTGATAACATATTTGACCTCAACCTGTACTCCATCCTTTCTAGCCTCACTTATCTACCAATCTCCTTTAACCCCATGGGTTGTAAGCATCTATAACAAGAAGGGGAAAAATAGAAATTTTGTAATAAAATAAGAGAACAAAGAAAGAAAGGATGAAATAAAAGTAGGTAACATATAATTACATTTCCAGAGAATGCATCATGAAAACAGAAACGCTGAGATCCACGGGTAGATAAGTGAGGCTAAATTTCACACAAATAGGATTAAAAATATGAATAAGTTACATCTAAAAATACACAAGTAAGAACTACACATTAACGGTGTGGTATCGCAAATCTGAAACAAAACCCCTGTAAATCCTCCTTTTTTTTCACTTTTAGCAATTTTGTGTTTTTTTTGTGAACGTCGGCAACCAAATGCTGAAAATGTTTTTTTCTGAATTTTTTAAAACTTCTTATTTTGTCAGTATCGTATCTGCATTGAAAAATGCTGGCTGGAATATTCAAGGAAGTACTGTACTTTCGGTGAAGCAATTTTTTTGCCGAAAAAAACACAAGCTATGTTTGTGCTTGGAATCAAATAATTATATCCAGCATTCAAAGCGATATAACCAGAATCGAAATTGTCTAATTGTAGTTAAATTTGAGAATTGTAATTTCGCTGAGTGAAAATTCACTACACGCAGCATGATTAGCTTTCATGGAATGAAAAAAAACCCAAAACAATCTTTGAGCGTTTTCTGTTTGTTACAGTTGAACACAATTGCTTTTTTGGGGTGGAAACTTATTTTAAAAACCAACGTAGATTTTTACAGCTATTTTAAAAATCCAACCCATGTTCTTAACAGTCGTGCAGGAATGACAAATGCACTGCATTTTACAATTTAGACTACGCTAAAATAAATATATTTATAAGTTACAATTGTCCCAACAATCATCCGCTTTGTCACTTTCCAATTTTGTCTTCTTCTGCGATTGAGAGCAAAGTAGCGCAGCATTTCAAAAATGATTGCTTCAACATAAATAAACGCAAGATTCACTTCAATTTGTGGTTTTGATTTTTCATTAAAATAATACTTTTGTTTGTTAACTAAAAACAAGCTCGGCACAACACAATTAAGTACTTGATGCCTAGTTGAAAACAAAACGCAGGTTTTTTTTGTCAAGAAACCAAAATACATGTACCATGGCAACTGAGAAGTGAATGAACCACCAATAATATCCGTTCTCCGATGCATTGAAAATTAAGACCATTTTTTTTCTCCAGAACGTGGAAGTGAATACTTTAATATGTGTATCAAAAGGAGAAATAACCTTTATGTAAAACAGATTTTGAAAAATGTTTTTCTTTTACACGTCAGTCATCTATAAGGTCACCAAGATAGGCTGGTGCCCACGATGCGCTGCCTCAAAGCCACATTGATCGACACATGGCCTTCTGGGATCCAGACCAAGATGGCTGCAGTGTGAAAAAAAACCCGCATATGAGATCCCCGCCAGTAACAGCATGATGATGTACTGTACTCCTATTTTTTAAGAAGATGCGATCCCCGGTTGCCATGGCAATGTAACTGGTAGTCCGTTGGAGGGCATCATCATTATTGTTTCTCCTCCTCGGTCTCCGGGGTGGGCTCCGAATGTCTGTCCTCATTGAAGAGGGGGTTCTTGACTTGCATCTCGCCCGTCTGTCAAGAAAAAGAACATTTTGTCACAGCCTGATGGTAGGATTGATCTTTTTGGATTTTTGAGTCACACTAAATGGTGGGCTGAATTCGGTTCGTAAGTATGACGTCAACTTAAACCATGCCCACTACACACAGAGTATTGTTGAAAATCATTGGAACCATGGGAACAGGGCCCAATTTCATAGCACTGCTTAACAGTAAGCAAAAAAGTTGTGCTTACTATAGCAGAAAATCATGCTGCTGCTTAAGCACTATTTCATGCTAACGGTTGCGCGCACATACATGTAGAGATTTCTATTGTTACGTCACTGATTTAAGCAAAGTTTTCTTTTGGGGTTAAGCGTGCTTTTGCTGTGCTTACTGCTTAACAGTCCCTATGAAATAGATGGAGGCTCGGTAAGTACAAAGTTGGCTGTTAAGCAGTGCTATGAAATTGGGCCCTGGAAATAATGCAAAGTTGCGTGTTTAGCCAATGGGTGCTAGTGATCAGTGGTGCGTGCGCTTGTATGACGCAGTAACTTACGAAGTGCTTCGGAGAACAATCCTATTACTGAGAGGTGTTGTCCCTCTAGTGGTAGTGGGGGGGGGGGGTTGAAGTAACCCTACTAACATGTGGGATCACCAACGATGGTAGATGGCTCAAATATGATATTGATGATCAGTTTGGCCAATCCTGACATTAGGCAGGGCCACTCCTTATTGTAGGTTGAGCTTAAGAATGGCGAGTGGGGCTTAAGAAGCGTGGGTGGGCTTAAGAATTGTGGGTACGGCTTCAACATTGTGGGTGGGCTTAAGAACTGTGGGTGATGCTAAAGAATGGTGGTTGGGGCTTAAGAATGACAGGCAGGGATTAAGGAACGTGGGTTGGCTTAAGAATTGTGGGTAGGGCTTCAGAATTGTGGGTGGGGCTTAAAAACTGTGAGTGGTGCTAAAGAATGGTGGTGGGGCTTTAGAATAGTGGGTGGGACTTAAGAATGTGGGTTGGGCTTTAGGATTCAGGGCGGGGCTTCAGGGCGTCAGTCTTACCGGTGCTAATCCTGGACATTCATACACCGTCAGGTCGCCATCTTCGTTCTCCTCCTCAGAGTCGTAATCCGATGCGTTCTGTTGCATCTCACCCTTTTCCCTCCTGATAAAAAACAGGAAAAATAGCAAACAGGTTAAAAAAAGAAAACAAATGTGGATAAGAGTGGTTGAGGTGGGGGAAAGATGAACATTAAGCACTGTGATTGACGTTAGGATTCTAAACTGTCAAGAACATAATAAATATTCAGAAGTCAACACACTCTCCTACCGGTATCATCATTTTGCCCACTTCTCAATTGTCAATTTTAACCCAGATATAAGCCCAAAAGCCAAACTTTCAAAACTCATGAATAAACAGTCTTTAGTGTGCTGAGAGGTAAATGTACTTAATGATTTCAATAACTAGAACACTGTCACAATAACCACATGTAGGTCAACTAAAGATTGGATTTCAATGGTTCATATGAACGACCAACCCGTCCCCTTCCACCCACGCCAAAAATTAGACTTGCATATTATGCATACGTGCGTCTCAAGTTAACTTTCCTTTGCGATTGAATTTTAAAACGGCGTTTCGGGATCTCCCTCGACTTATCAAATTTAATCCCGGTTGGGCTTCGAGCAAAGTTCCAGTGTGTGACTGCGCTGCCACGGCAATGAAACATTTATCACGGAAAATGCCAAATTAAGAATACATTCTAGAGTGTAAAAACTTAATGTTTTGCTCATTTTATTCATTGTTTTATTAATAAGGAAATTACATTTTTGTCGAGGAAAGAACAAAACCAAGAGAATTAAATCTTTTAACAATACAACATTAAAAGGTGCCCCAAATGCATAACTTAATCCATCTTTTCAAGGTTGTTTTTTGAATCTTTAAACCGTGCCTTCAGGGGAAAAGGTGCTTTACAAGTAACTCGAACAAGAGGATTTCGATATCTGAGCACACTGGAGTCAAGTGAAATACGACTTGCGAGCGGAAATCCTTGGAAATCTAGTGATGCCTCCAAAATTATGGATTTTGTTTTACTTTTAGCTTCTGGCTCACTCTTGACGGTAATGTGTGCTAGACATTTTTTTTCTTTAAGAAGCAGTGCCAGCCGAAACGAAACAAAGTACAGAACGAAAATTGAGTCGGGAATAAAATGACTTTGTGGAATTCACCCCGAGGCTTTTGGAACGCGACCCGCATACAGTGAAAGGCGGCGGGAATATGACGCCTCTTTCATCGTTTTCTATTCCGCGGATTGATTTTGTGATTGAGTATCCAAGTCCCAATCTTGCCGCGATTGTGTGTTTCCATTCGCTGTCGCGCCGGCAACATTTTCTGGGCTCTGCGGTTGCGGTCTCGGGGGGAATTTCATTCACAGAAGGTTTTGAGTTGCATTTTTTTGTGGACAATTCTTGAACTGGATTTGATTAAAGGCGAGATTTCTTGTTATGTGCTTCTGCTTTAGATTCTAGTTTAAGATGAGCGAAAGTGGTGGCTCTGTTTTTTTGACAAGTTAAGGTCTTTTGATGAAGTTTGTCCCAGCATACAGTTACGGAAGATGTAGGCGTTTTGCATGAACAACTGGCTTTTGTGGATTTGCAGTATGGCTTGCACAGATTTCAACGGGAAATGAAATCAAGTCCGACCGATTCATAGGCAAAGTTTGTGGGAATTCTTTAGGGCTTTAGAGGCTAACAGAGTGCAATTTCTCTTGAGAAACCACAGTCCCTTGTGAAAACAACTCATTTCAGGATGTAAAAGTACGCTGTTTCTTTTGCTCCGTATTAAGTTCACACTACACAACAGGAAGACGGTCGAAAGGAAAGGATTTCATTGTATGTTCAATGTGGCTTACTATCCGACTTCTGAAGGTTTTCGGATTTAAAACTGATGGAAGAGAGAAAACCTTCAACCTCACAGGAGCTTTTGCACACATTTCAAGGGTACGAATGCGAAAACATGACATCCTAAACTCACATGGAGACTTTGTTCATGTGGTTGTCCCACAAAAAACCTAACAGTCGAATCAGGCATGTTTTCGGAAAAGTGGGGGTAGTATACAAAATCGTGTCTAGTGTATTGCTGAGTAAAGTAACTGGTCTTCCAAATGCTTTTTAGTTGGTTTCATAAGGATGTTTTGTTCTAAAGATACAGCAACCACAATACGGGACTTGGAAAGCCACTTGGGCTACTTTTTTTATTTATCAAGTTTACAGATCGAAGTCGGTAGAATACGGTAAGTCACACATTACTCTTGAACATAAGAAATAAATCCTTTGTGTGTTTCTCTAACTGCGCTTTCTCGCTTTCAAGGAAAAGTGGCCTAAGACGATTTTCAACCCTTGAGTTCGATGAAGCATGGCGTTGGTTCCAATGCATCGATTTGAATGCAATAAAGTTTGTATGGTAGATTGGTTATCTGACTTTAAGAGTTAATTTGAAAATGTTCCAAAACTGACATGCAATATACCTTTATTGATTAGTTTTTGACTGTTAAGATTCGGGCATTCTGCTACTTCCATCACGAAGGCCCGATTCAATGGCGAAAGCATGGTGCTAGCTATTGTTCAGATAATCGTCATGGGGCAGCTGCTTTGTACAATGGTTTCTTTATTGAAGGGGGTGAGTGTACAGTAATCGCATGCCCAAATTCGTCTATACATGTATGTCAAAAGAATTTCCTGTGTAATGCCCAGTTTTTAAGATGAGTCCTTCGCAAGTCCAGTCAAGAATTAATCACAAATCAATTTACAAACTTGTCCGTTCATACATGTAAGTAATAGTTGATGAACAACAATAAAGGAATGCCTTTGTGACAGCTCATTTGATAAGCTTTTGATTTTACACTGAATGAGTTAAGTCTTGAGTTTTGATGGATATGTGAGGACTGGCGATGGGCTGGACTTCAACACTGGTAATGCCCAGAAAAAAAAAAGAAGTAAAAAAAGTCTAAAAAAAATAACTGATTGAGGTCTAGCGACCGGACTCACTTCTCCATGGCGATCATCTGCTGTTTCTGGTGTTGGTAGTGGTACATCTGTGCACTCTGCGCGAGTTTCCGGTCACCGTTCTGCAAAGATACAAAAACAAAATGATGTCACACACTCCAAAAAAAAAAACATTCCAAAACTCAAGGCCAGAAATCAACTCTGTTTCCAGTTCGCTGGATGACAGATTTGAATAACAAGTAAAGAATGTTCTCATCTTTTTATGCTTAGCACATAAATTTGCTGAGAACTCTATTCTGCTTATAACTCCACAAAATTAGGCCCGGACAGCTCTCATTCACTTTGACAAAACAAAATTCCACTGCACTGTTTTCACAAGTGCAACGCTGTGTTTACCGTATTGTAACCAAACTTCAAAATGCGCGGCTGCGCATGCACATGTACTTTCCCAGCTGTTAAAGCAGTTTTGGCCATTGCGACTGACCAGTGCTGTTTCTGCTGCAACTGTGAACAGTCTGGCCTGAAGCTCTAAGCCGTCAGAACACACTTCCGGTTTGCTGCATCAATGCATATTTATCACGCCCATCTTGTAAAAACCACGAGGATTATCTTCAGCGTGACAGATGTTTTGTTAGCATGCAATATTTACCTCCGGGTACATGTGTTTCGGTATTGATTATAAAACAAACCCCCAAAAAAGGAAGAAAAGAAATGCACTGAATAAATTATGATGGTAATTTTTTTTTTCTGGCAAATTTCCGGCTTTACCAAATCCACATGGAAATGTTTATATTGCTTGAAATATCTCCAAGGAAATATAGAAATCCCACTTATTAAAGAACATTTTAAATGTGTGGCCAGAATACATTTTTCCTATTTACATGATTTACAGGTATAGCATGTTCATTTTTGCCCAATTATTTTGTATTGAAACAAAGCTTTGCAGTATAATTTGGCAGAGATTATTACATGTGCAATGACACACTGGAAAACACAAAGTCCCACTTTTTCTTCCTGCAGGAAGAAAAATTGGATCCTGATAAGTTACATTGTGTACTTTCTTGAGAAAGTTGATGACTATTCCTTCTCTAAGTTGACTTATTAAAGCCTCTACAATTTATGTTATGTATCTGACAGATTACAAATGAGTAATTTGCATATTTATGCTATGCATTAATATGCGAATAATTTATTCTTTGAAAGAAAATTAATTTTGAGTTCTACATGTACGCGTCATTTAATTTTGTTCATTCAAATTCTGTATGGTGATCAATATGGCTGATCTGGTAGTTCTAAAGTACCGGTATCTTCACAAAGCTAAATGAGCATCGAGCAATTTATGAATATTCTTGACATGTTTGCTGCCTGGCCGTTTAATGCATGAGGGGCGCCGATCAAACGGGGCACCGACGAGAGCGGCAGGCTCCCTAAATGTCAACCAAATGTGCGGGGCGGGGCGATAGCGAGACAAACACGCTTTGGGATTTCTTGCCAGAATTTTGTTTTTTATTGACCTGCTTAAATTTCCAGTTAAACGCATGTAGCTGCATGGTTCAGGATAGAAAAACCAGGCTGTATTATTTGTATTCTGGTCGTAGTGGGTGCGGGGAGATGTGATTTTGGCTACAGGCAATTTTCGTGATGGTACGGATGGGTAATCGGATAAACAAGTCAGTGTTACTAGAGTTGGGCAAGATTTTTGGGGGGGGGGGGGTTTGAAGAAGTGGTATGAAAATATTAATTCTTAATGATTTCCAGAGGAGACACTTTTGGAAATGACAATGTTTTTTCTCAAGATCTGACTTTTCGACTGTTGATTCTTACAATGAAAAAAAAAGAAGGATGTTTTATCAAACAAAATTCTGTAGCACTGTTCTTCCAAACTCAATCTGTGAATCTTGATCAACTGATGAAACCCTTAAAACAGGAAATTTATTGCGAAAAATTCAAGGGGCTGTATAGTACACCTGAAAAGCGTATCATATTTGAATTTAAAAACGTGTAGGCCCTACATTTCAAAAGGTTTAAAGTCTAGTATTGAGAAAAACCATTCTCAATCGTTCCCACACATGTGAATGCTGTATGGAAATTCTCTCCCCCCCCCCCCAAAAAAGTAAAAACGCAAGACCAACGCTAACATGACTAGACTTAGTTCAGCAGTCCAGTGGCGATATCAGACCCGGTTATCTGCCCAGAGAGACCTTCCCCTCTTCCTTAAAGGCATCCTGTATTTATTCTCCTTCCCCCTTGAGGGAGACTAAGGGAAGGAATTACCACCGTCCTAGGGGACCCACCGACAAATAATTTACACCATCTTAAGGGCACCCGCTTGCGTCAGGAGACCTATCGCGATGCAAGATAAAAACAAAACAAAAGTTTGATGACCTCAAAGATGGTGGCCAGATCAGAACAAAATACAGTTTGTTGTAAACTATTAACAGGCTCTTTCATGTCTTTGGCCAATGTTATTTCATTTTCCTGTGCATTTTCATATTTCAATTGAAAAGTTCATTTTCAAATTTCTAAATGGGGAACAATTTTTTTTTTTTAACTAATTTAGGAAACAAATTGTTCTTAAAGGCCCAATTGGGCTACAAAATGTGTTTGAAACGAAATGATGTTAATTGGAAAGAGCATTTTAAGTAGGACATAAACTTGATTGTAACCCCATCTAAAAACACGTTAAAATTGTGCAGCAGCAGGATTCCAGTCAAACCAGTGAGTTTGGCAGTTTTGAGACATCTTACATTGTACATTGAAAAAAAACCCTTTTTAATTTTTGCCAATGCGCATGGCTACGGCGATGCGCGCGCATACCAGAAACCGGAATTGTTTTTTGGCCTTAACCATAATTTTTTCCAGGGCCTAGAGATGTTGTGATCGTTGCGTATTGTCTCAATATTTAAGTAAATGATCTCTCTGATGTTGGCACTTTGTTCTGCTTTATAAACTACTTACAATCTTTGAAATGTGACGGAAGTACTGTAAGAGCAGAAAACTGTGTGCTTTGCAGTACAACTTTCATGACTTAAGGCCTTTTTAAACTATCGTCTGGCCTATAATGTCCCCGTGTTGAAATCGACACAAGTCCACGGTAAGCGGAGCCAGGTCCCATCCAACACTTAAACCGGTGTGTACACGGGTCGGCTGTAGATGTCGGATTGTCTACCCAAGCAGAGCCTCTCAACCCTGGTCCTGACCAGGGTAGGATTTTACCCGTGTAGAGCGCTGGACCTGAAAGGGTTTCCTGAAATCTCTGTGTCGGACCTGGGTCGTATATACACAGAGATTTTGGATTGGGTGAAAGGCCCATTGATATCTGACTGACTGGGTCACTGAGTACAAGCCATTTCCTAAACCGAGGCCTTTATAGATCCAGCTCCACTAAGCAAGTAAGTCTTACTCTTAAATTCTGAGACACGCAGATGCAGAAATGACAACTCCTTGTTTGTCACGTTCTCTCTGGATATTTTGCAAGCAGGGTGACAACAAATTATGCATCGCCCCGTCGCAACCGGAGTGAGCCCCGTCCCCGTTACTTTATTTATCAGTGTCACGCAGACGGCACAGAGATGGAAAACTCCACACCTCCTCTCGTCACGTTCCTCAAGGATAGGCGGGGATCAGATGACAAAAACTCTCCTTACAGGCAGGAGAGGAAGTGCACGAATGATGGATAGAGCAGGCGAGTGTTGCCTGAGATCGTCATATTGGAAACAATCTATCTCTTTTTTTTGTTGCTGTTCGAGAGCCTTTTCCTTCCTGTTTCTATTGTGGTTGATATTAGTCTTTGATGAAAGAGCCTGACTCACAAAATGAATTTCCATAAGCTTGGGCTGTGTCTTGATAACTTGGCTATGTGACTACGGCTTGCAATTTTATATACATGCCTATGGAAGCAGCTAAAGCCACTTTCCATAGACATGTGTGTGCTGCTAGTTGTAGCCAGGTCATTTAGCCACAGCCTTTTAGTCAGAACAGCTACATGTACATATACATGTAGGTAGGCAATTCTGTGCCACATGAGACATGCTTCCCAAAACTTCATTTCTTTCCTGAACTTACTTCACACTTTTTAGAGTCTCTGAGCGATCTGTGTTTTCAAAATTGTTAGAGAAAAGCCAGTGTGTATTTGATCAGAATTGTGGCCAGAAAGTTTTCATTTGTTCACACTCGTTTTGGCATTCAAAGTGTGATGCAAGTAACAGTGATGTAATGCGAGTAACCACACTTTCCTCCGCTGCCTTTTAAATGCAGTTACTTTTACATCTTTTACACGTATCATCCTACCTAGGTACCTTATCATTAGTTTAATCTCAGAACACAATATCAAATGTTATATCTCCTTTAATTTTTGGTAACTGTAACTTTGATCTAGAATTATACTAAGTTTTGGGACATCAATTTTGAATGAAACCATAGTGTAATCTGGTAAACAAAATTAGAAACCATTTTTGGGGATGTGCCACGCTTACGCGCACAACGCCCGCGTTCTTAAAAGACGACGCACGCATTTTGGTAACACTATTGGTCAAAAGAGCTTAAAATGTGCATACTACCTGAGCGCGACTTGTGTTACTGCAGTGCCACCTCAGAAAATGGCCGTTGATGAATTACCTGTCGGCCCAGTCACGGTAGTCTATATAGTAACTGCTTTTTGAACAGTGTCATGCTCATTTTGAAAAAAAAAAACCATTTTACATACAATTTCCAAGAAACTTTGTCTGCTGGCTTTGGTAAAATTAAAAGCCTGACAATAAAATTTTACTGAAAACAAAAAGTGGGTAGCCATGAAATTGCCCAGACAAGTATTTTCTTCTCCATGTATCCTACAATCATAACTAAAATCTTCGAGGGAAAAAAAAAAAAATTAAGGCAAAATAATATGAGTTGACAATCCGGCTTAAGTGCGCTCCAAGCTCAAGTCCGTTTATCACTGGCCGGGGAAAAAACAAGCGTACATGTCACGTTCCTTTGCACCCCAATGTTGACATTTAATAACCTGGCCAACGCCATCGTAAATAACACTGTCCCCACAGAGTTCAGCTCGCAGGAAGCAAAACCTGAACTTGTCGACTTGCCGGTGTATCTTTTCTCTTTTGTTTTAAAGAGGATCCCACTTAAATGTCAGCACGTCATTTTATTGGTTGTCAATTTTTGATCGCCTGTTTTTTTTTGCGAAGAAATAAAATGCAAAGGCAACAAAATACCCCCCCCCCCAAATGAACAGAAGGCCCCCCCCTTAAAAAAAACCCAACCTTTCTTCTCTCATGTCTCTCCATTAAAAACAGAAATGCATGCCCACAAATGTAAATGTTTAACCAAAAATTACACATCCAGGCAATCAGATATCAGAGCTTTTCAATAATGCAGGACAGAAATTAATGATGCGTGGACTGCGCTCTTACCGCGTCGCTCATGCAAGAATGCACGCATGAAATGTATACAGTCACGCTGAATAACTACGACTTTCCGATGATGTACATGTATACTATCCTATACATGTTCAGTGCACAGTGTACATGTACATGTACATTCGTGGGGGCAAATTGAAACATTTACATATAGTGCCCATTTCGTGCATTCACTTTGTTCATGTACATGTAGTCAAGGTAACAAGTGATAGATCACAAGCACGTCACAAACCCTGTCACAAGCAAATCACAAGTCCAGTCACAGGCAACAGGGGATGAAAGATAAAAAAGGAATGCCTTTGTCTCAGTTCAGATGAGTAGCTTGTAACGTGACTTGGGACTGGAGGACTTGTGATTGACTTGTGATGAACTTGTGATGGACTTGTGATGGACTTGTGATGACTTGTGATAGACTTGTGATGGACCTGTGATGGACCTGTGATGGACTTGTGATTGACTTTTGATTGACTTGTGATGGATTTGTGATAGACTTGTGATGGACTTGTGATAGCCTTGTGATGGACTTGTGATGGATTTGTGATGGCCTTGTGATGGCCTTGTGATGGACTTGTGATGGACTTGTGACGGACTTGTGATGGACTTGTGATAGACTTGTGATGGCCTTATGATTGCCTTGTGATGGACTTGTGATACAATTGCGATGGACTTGTGCTGAATTTGTGGTTGAGTTGTGATGAAATTGTGATCCATCACAAGTAACAGTGGTCTCAAGATTCTTCATGAGATTTTCGGGTCTTGACTTGGGAGAACCATTCTGCAATTTGAGGCCAAATTGAAAGGTTTTCAATTTAGTTTGAACAGCTGAAACAGAAGATGAGGTCAAAACTGGAGACAGAGCCATGGTCTGGAAAATGGCAAAATAAAATCGGTGTTCTAAGCGATACTTACCGACATATTGGAAGGCATGTGTGCGCTGGGACCCGTCAATCCGTAGGCAGGATATTCTGCCTCACTCTGGGCTTTGGCAGTGGTCTGGATTCTGGAGAGAAGAAAAGATGAGAAACAAATTAATATTATCCGAAGTAAAATTGGTCCATCTGAAACAAAACGATGCGTCGCACGTCATTTGAATGAATATTCATTCGTAATTTGAATGAATATTTATCAGTTGAGTGAATATTCATTCACAATTTGAATAAATATTCCATCATAATTTAAATGAAAACTTATTCACAATTTGAATAAATATTCATTCATTTGAATGAATATTCAAGGCTGACAATCTCAATGGAGGCACTAATTAAATGAATAGTTATTAATCAAATAAGAACAATTAAGTGAACACTTAGAAACAGTTATTTCTGCAAGGCACGTGAACGGGAAAGGTAATAGAAAAAAAATGTATAAAATAAAGAACATGGGAAAATGAAACTTGAAAAATGTGGTTTTCAAATTTTGAAAGTTAGTCTTTGAATTATTTACCTTAAATTCAAAGACTAACATTAACATTTGAAAATGGTACTGACATTTAAATATTTCCCTTCTTGAAAATCCTTTTTAAAAAAAAGCATGCAGACTCTCACTTTTTTCCTCAAATGATTAAAAACAAAAAGAAAAGAGAATTGCACAACCACGTAGATGTAAACATACATATTTCTTCATGTTTTTTGGTCACAAAAAGAAAAGGCTCCCCCCCCCCCCCCGTGCGTACAAAATAACTCAATAAAAAGCGATCCTAAAATAAAAGGTACAATGTACATACATGTACTCAAAAAACGTTATGACGTACGCTCGTGGAAACAAATCTCATTACTTGCTGTAACGTCAGGGCTTCAAATTCAATAAACATGTTTTTTATCACTGGCAAATTCTGGGGTCAGTGAACACTCAAACATTGCCCATAGTGGAACAAAGGCTAGATAAGGGACGCGGAGGGGAAACACAACATCGAGTCCCCCCCCCCCCCCCAGGGTCAACCCCACCCCACCCCCAGCCCCGTGCACCCCACCACCCCAATGTTAGATCACACATCAACACAAACAGCATATCTTTAAAATTATCGTTGGAGATGTACCCACTATCTAAATATAGTTAATTTAATCAAGTACGCGCCGTATCGCGGCAACGACACTTCATTTTGTGCCGGCAGTAAAATATAAATTGGGGACGCATAATGGGATTGTACAGCACCCATACTACATGTACGTAATTCACCCAACATATGGACTGTCTGGTTTTCTATTGATCCGCACACTTAAGTTGTCATCGTGCTTGTGAACTGAGCGTAGAGCTTTGACAAGATTAAGTTGAGCATTGATAGAAAATCGTTTATTGAGCCAGCATTGAACTGCGTTCCGCTGATTGCACTTTTCTGGAGGGATTGTTTTTCTTCGACAAAATTTTATGGCAATTTGTAAGATTTTTGATACGCACTTTCAAACTGTTCTGGTTTTTATTACACAGTGTACAGCAACATGCACCCATGCTATGAGGTAACTAAAACATTTTGTCTGAAAAAGGAAGAAAAAAAAGAAGAGAAAGTTATCTATATCAAGTTCACAATTTGCTTTCCCGTCAAGCAGAGAACATCATTTAACATTCCATGCTGGTATTTTAGTTATTGACTAGTGTTTTGTTTTTCAGCCGTTGGCAAGACTTCTTGCTCGAGGGTTTGATCGAGTCCCATTATAGAAAGACTCTCTCTGGGGTACAAAACGAACGCTACAGTCTGCCAGGACGTGACCGAAAACCTAGAACAGGGAATTCAGGTTGTTCACATCTGGCCACACAAAACAAAATATCTGTTTACAGGGCCCATAACTCAAAAACTGGCTCCAAGATTTCTGTTTTTCTTTCAAAGATCCACGGTTTTCTATTTCCCCCCCCCCCCCCCCCAGAGATCCAGAACTGAACAAGACAGCTAGAAATAAAGTCATTTTGAACTTTCATGTACATAATACTGAAATTCCATGGACATGTAAATTATGTTTCTTTTTTAACCGCTTTGCGCCGGGATTATTTTCGCCAAAAATTTCGATTCTTGTAAAAGGCAAAATTTGTCAGCCAACTTCTGATATACATCCAAATGCCACAAACACTGATTCGCAAGAGTCATTTCGTGTATAAAACAGCCAGTGCGTGTTATCATGTCCTCCGACACAAACTGCTAATAATAAGAACAAGGTGGAAATAAAAAGAAGGAAAAAGTGAGATGAAAAAAAGAGATACCAAAATATTCTTGTATGCCTAACTACATGTACATGTATATTACCAAACAAAGTGCATGTTTAATAGTGGCTTGACTCTACGCGTACCCTTCCACGAACCTTCAAAATCCTCCAGAATTTGTAAAAGATTTTGAAAAATTTGGTACAAGTAGGATTACTATAGCAATACAATGGGAAAAAAAACAAAACAACAACCAGTTGTTCCTTCTTGCAACAAACTTCTTTTTCTCTGGCTCATGAGGCATTATAACCTTAAGACAAGCAGGCAACTGCACAGCGTAGAAGAGGAAATTCAACATTTGAACAAAACTAGCAAGAAAAGAGGAAAACAGCTGATCCACGAAAAGGCTGTAAAGATGGCCTAAACTAAAGAGTCAAGTACATCGAAGGAAAAGGGTACATGAGCTTGCCTTGCTAAGTACATGTACCACAAGATAACCTCAGCCCATCCCGATGTACTTGTGCAATGAATAATAAAAACCACCAAGTTCTTGAAAAGCCAACAACTCAAGACGTAACAAAACCCAAACCAGGATGCACCGACACACAATTCATGAAAGTCAAGTAGGCTGATGGGAAGGGGCATGTTTTAAAAGTGCGTAGAGTTTGCCTCAGAGTTTTCCAGGTAAATACGGCACTAGGACCGAAGTTGAAAATTCACCAGTGGTTGATATGAGTTGGTTTGTAGGGATTCGACCTAACGATGCTAACCTCCATTAAAAGCTCTCCCGAGCTGCGGGATGTCCTGCGAAGGATCTTATCTGAATTGCCAATCGATGATGGTGTATCCACCTCGGGTAAAGACTGCATAAATCTGAGGTATCGTTAGAGGGATACACCGGGCGGATCAGAGGGGTAAACATGTACACGGCAGGAAATTGATCCAACGAATCAATCTTCGAAGGTCCGTTGGTTGCAATGACGAAAGTCGACCAGTGTGTTCTATTAGGTATGCCCTGATGCCTGAATGTTTAGAAAACTAGTCCTACCGGTACTTGATATCGGTCTTGACTGGATTTGTAAAAAAAAATCATGAGGAATTTCTTGCTTTAAAATCTTCCTGAATCTTCCAAAATCCTCCACTGTGCAGGAATCCAATGACAAGTTCTTTGTACCTACCAAGTTTGAAGTCATCAAGCCCCATGTTAAGTAAAAGCAGTTTGGCTCTACCTTCCTGAATCCTACAAAATCTTCCTCTGTGCAAGAATCCAATGGCAGGCTCTTTGTAAATTTACCTACCAAGTATCCAAGGGCATACGGCTAGCCCCATAAGGTAATAGTGGCTTGAATCTACCTTCCTCCATCCTACAAAATCCTATAAAATGTTCTGATGGAATTTGGAAGATCTGGAAAATTAAGGTTGGTGTATATTACAGCACATACAGTATGAGCTCTGTGCGCCAACGAAAGAGGGTGCCCTTTCGCCTAGCAACGATGTCCCATGGGCGGGACATTAAGCTGGTTGATGCGCACAGTTCCTTGTGTGTGTCGTACGTACATGTACACCAGGGATTTCTACTATGTACACGCAGTGGTACGGCCGCACGTCACGTCGCGGCAAAATTGCAGTCAGGCAAGATGGCCTCGGTCGGTCACCCCCAACTGTACTTTCTTTGCTGGTGAGGGGGTAATTGTGAATGGAGCGGATAGACCTGATTTTGTGACATCACATTTGAGCTGATTTTTTGCCCACTGCACTGTCCTATTTCAGTGTGCTAGCTGTTACTCAAAATGTGATGTCGAATTGTATATGCACCATTTGGTGTTTTGACATCTGCCAAACATTTAACAAATACAATATGTGTACAGATTCATGATCATGTCATTGTAAAAAGTTGTTCCATGTGGTGACACCACACTATCGTGTCATACATTGATCTATTACACATTGCACATGTGGGTAATGCAACATTATGAAAAGAAGTGTAACGTCCGCGACAGACTTAATCATCCATGATATCTAATTAATGATTCAGAGAAATGATCCAAAACTCCTAGTCTGTAATCTCCTTGACCATTACTAGATGATGGATGTATAAGATGTGAATAAATTATTGTCAGGTTTATTCACTGAACTCTTAAAAGCTCTGTCACTGACATGTTACGCTGGAATTGCCAATGTAGGGCTAGCAAACGAAACCAATACTGCAAAGATAATCTCTAGTTTGCATGAAAACACATTTTCCAGTCATTTTCAGTCGTGAACTAATGGCTATCTAAGCCACTACAGAACGTGCATGCAATTACAAGACATGTTCATGCAAGTCGAAATTCGCCAAGGGTTTGCAAATTCGCCGAGGGTTTGAAAATTCGCCAAGGGGTTTATTACTCATAAGCTTAATCGAAAGATAAGAGAGCGAACGATTTTGAAAGTTTCCCCCCGAGGGGAACGACCGGTATTATGCAAGTTTAATTTAGGAGTTTTCCCCGATGGCTGTATCCTGGTTATGGAAAACACAGAATACATAAATAATTCATATACAGTATAAAGCACCAGATTTTTTGTTGTTCTGGCAATGCTTTGGTGACTAAAACAACTACACGTAATTCTAAGAGGTTTCAAACACGGGAGACGGAATTTCTCAAAATCATGTTGCAAAGAGAGTGTTTTAGAAGCTTGCTTTATAGCAATGGTTGTAATGTCACGTGTACGTGCACGTACTCGTACACGTGTACACTAGGCCTGGGCGAGTATTGGATTGTCCTACTCGACTAGTCGCAAAGAAATCACTGGCGAGTAGTCGAGTACTCGTGAGTAATTAACCAAATTCGTATAAAAGCAGAAAAATGACATTATACGTTAGTATGATGG